ATTTGTACTTACGGGCCATCCCAAGGGTAGAATTCTACGAGACTCTGAGAAGTTGCATAGCAATGAGGTCCATCACCATAGATGGCTTAGGGCCAAGTATAACCCATGATGTTGAGTTGACCCTGTGGCCAGCTGCTAATCAAACGTCACTGGAAGCACAAGGCCGGTTCCAGATCGGGTATAGCTCGCTAGTAGGCCCGATTTTAGCGTCGAGTTTCGGAAACTGTGTTGGAGCAAGAGCTTGGCAGATATGAGATCACAGCCTCTGTGTTGGTGTGTTGGTGTGTTGGTGTGTTGGTGTTGGAAAGGGTCTAAGCTATAGACGTGCTTGGAGCTCTCCCGAGGGCAAGTTCATAGCTCCAAAATAGTACTCTCTTTCTAATAGTTTAACTGGCCATGGAACTTACTGTGAAGACCATATAACTACAAAGGGATTTAATGGGGTTTGAACATCGAAGATAGATGGTCACAATGACATTATGTTCCATATTAGGCCTAGTTGTCAACCCCCCCCCCAAGGTCTTGTGCGTCGGAAGAAACCCATTATCTGCATGAATCAATGCCCAACCCCTTTTTCCAGTTGGGTCAAATCAGAGTCGAGGTCTTTGTCTTTGATTCGACGCGTGCCCGTGCTCCGACAAAATGTTGCTAGCACCTCGATTGCTACATAATTTATTTCTCTTGCGGTCCAATCGCAGAAGAACTTACGTTCAAAAAAAAAATCACAAGACGCTCCATAGCTTTTTCCGTTGCTTGAGTTCCACGGACGAGGCAAGAGACTGGCGTGCATCAATTTCTATTTGATGTCCATGTGCCCTCGGCACCAAGTTCGACAGGCCGATTCCACGTTGAGCTCCGGATCTCTGATGAAAGTGCTCAAAGACCTCTATCCAAAATGGTCGAGCCAAAGTTGAGAGAACTACCATGTCTTTGTTCCCTCCTTCCTAGCTAACAATGGCCCATTGTTTGCTTTTCCTTCTCAGTCCCTCAGTCCGATTCCCCTTTAGGCTTGATATAGAACGGCCTGTCCCCCATATAGAATGGGACTCAGTACGATGAAATAGCGACTTGCCTTTATTGAGACATTAGTTGCTACGAATCCAAGGAATCCAAGGAATCCAATATATTCTCTCCGCGAGCGAAGCCAGCATAGTTCCTAGATTAGTTTAGTAGCGGGCCTCCAGCTCGGTGTTATAAACCTCCTGCGACCACCTTCGACTCAGCTTTTTTTTTTCCTTCTTCACCTCACGTCGGGGTCATCGAAACATCAGAATCGTCAGAAATCACATTACAACATTCGGCATTTGCCTCGCAAGTGCCTCCAATCCTCTCCTTGAGGTCTATACCCTTCCTTCTTGGATATACATTCCTCCATCCGACGGAGAAACGTGGTCATCGACGGCCATCGACGGCCATCGACAAACAATCTTTCGACCACCCTTGCCATCTGTACTCATCACAGACTCGGTCCTCCTACCTCCAAAGAAGAAGATCGACGTTCCACTTCATTCAATCCCCCAGTCAACTTTGTCACAAGTTGCCAGGGTCACGGTGTTGTCTTTAATTGTCAGACTTGGAGAGAGTCACCGGCCTCTTGAGGTGAAGTATCCCAGCTGAAGGCAAAACCCAATAGACATAGACATTCCTCCCCAAAACAAACCACAAAAGGTTAAAAAAACCAAACTGGTAAACGGGTCGAGAAGAAACAAGCCCAGCCAAGGGGGAAAAAAAAACAAGCCAAAAACAGAGGTTCGCTGAGCATCTTGGAAGTTCAAATCCGGCTTTTGGAAATTCAAACGAATGATCTCGCTTGCACAAAGCCTTTCCAGAGAAACAGGCTGCAGTATTCCAAACGCCCATCATAGCTTTGGTATACAGAATCCCAAAAAGATGTATTACTACAACGAGAATCCATCGCTGGCGCCCAATGGGCCCAGGTCATACCAAGAGAATGGAGGGGGCCGAAACAACCGCAACGGCAACGCAAGTTTCGTGCCCAAAGGAACCAGACAACATCAGGGCAATGGAGGTGGTCGAAATAACCGTGCCAACAACAATTATCACGCCAATGGCAATGGCAATGGCAATGGCAACAACCAATGGAGCCCTCGCAATGGTAATGGGAATGGCAATCGCAATCACAACAACCAGTGGGACAATCATCAAAATGACATTGGCAATGTGAGCCCTACCGACCATGGCATGGGCAATGCGAACCACAACGGCAATCCCAATTACAGGGGCCAGAACTTCAACCCCAACTACAAGGGGAAGAACTACAACCCGAACTTCTCTCGTCCTGTACCGGCCAATACTGTAAGTACTCCCCTCCTGTCCATTCTCCCATTCATGCATTGATGATTCGATACTAACCATCAATTATAGAGTCAGGCTCGAAATGGCAATTGGAGACGTCAGTCCAACAAAAACCACAACAATCACCAGAACCAGAACAAGTACAGCCAGCCTGTGTCTGCCAATAGCGACGTTCAGATGGCGGAGGCACCAACCGATGAGCCCGTAAGTTGACACGTCCCCATCCATTCTGTACAAGATCAATTGCTAACTTTGAATTTAGAATGACATCGAGATGCCAGACGCACCACCTCTCCCCGATCCAGTGAGTGATCTCTGGGAAGCGGCAAATTGCCTACAACATGCACTGACTTCTTTGCAGAGGATCGAAGCCTTCACCATGGGTGCTCTTGCAGTCAAAGAAATTGTTAGTCTCCCACTTTCCTGTTTTCAGTATCATCCGGTTGCTTTCCAACAACCTGCTGCTCCACATCTCGCTTTCCATTACCCTGCCTTCCGTCCCCCATCTTTCCACCCTCCACTTTTCCATCCCAAGATCCTCGGTTCTCCAAAGTTGCGAGGAAATGATGCGTGTAGCTACTTTCTCTAACACCATAACAGGCCGAGACCATGCTCAAGCTAGCTAGTGAATTGGACCCTAGCTACGTCCCCAGCTGAGCTCCACCAGACAGCGGCCTAGCCAACCCTGATCTAGTCATCTTACGACAAACACAACAACTCTCATCGACTTGTCGTCCTCAACAGAGTCACACACATGTCCACATCGGTCACCATCCACCAAGGACCTCTGGACCCGCCCCAAGACCTCTGGGTTCCTCGATCGGGCCCGAACCGTCAATGACGGGTGACAACCCACCAAGAGCAGGGTGCAAAAGACTAAGACTCCATCGACAAAAGACACACCACACAAACGTCATCTGGTCCTGGTGTCGACGGTGTGGCTCATGCCCCGTCCACTGGGAGGAGATTCAAGACCGGGAAGAAACTCGGTGGTGAAGAAGAATGCAAACTGGTACATGTGCAATGGAGGAATCAAACAAAGGAACCTGGACTTAGAGTTGCAGTCCTGGCCATGGTTTTTACCGAGCACCCAATTGGAGCTTGCCGGGTTTTCCCATGGCCCCGTCGGGGTGAAGACAGACAACATCGGCATCGGCATTGGCATCAACATCAGCATGAACAGAAAAAAAAAAACGCCATCCACTCATTTTCATCCCGCGGCCGAATGGGGGTCTTGCCTTTTATTGACATCTGTTTTGGGCGTTTTTGCATATCTTGGATATTTGATTGATTTTCTGGGAGTGACATGCTTGGGTTTGATATTGGATATGAGACAATTTGCATGTGCTGGATTTGGTTCGCTTGTGAGTCTCGCGCGATGCCATGGTCGTTGAGAGTCTCACGACTTTCCAGATGGGATATCACGGGAGAGATTTGTCATGTACCGTCCTCGATCAAGCAGTCTCTCGCGATGCCATGGTCGTGGAGAGTCTTTTTTTTTGGTTTTGAGAACAATTTGGATGTATCTAGAAACGGAGAATAATTACTCTACGCTTGAATTTCATTTTCTGTAGGCCTGAAGACACCGTAGACTGATCTAAACTAAAAGACGATCCTTTGACATCAAGCCCTGGAGATATGCAATGGAATCTTTACATGCAGATAGACAATTTCAGGTTGTTCGAATGAATGCAGCATAAATAGACATAGTGGTTACAGCCTTTCCAAGACAAACAGCCGGATGGATTCCTGGCAGGTGGAATTCAAAAATACAACCCAACACCTATTCCCAATGCAAAGCAAAACAAAAAAAAACATAATACATCCAGGGGAGATCGAGAGGCAGAGACGCTGTACAAAACAACCAAACAGAGACCGCATCAGCATCAAGGGAATCAATCCTTCTTCTCCGCCACAGTCTCATCCGTAACCGCCTCACCAGTCTTCCCATCCTTCCCACCCCAAGTCCAAACATCCCATATATGCTCCTGGATCAAATCCCCATATCCCTTCCCTTCACTAAGCGCCTTCTGCTCCTCCCTCAACCTCCTCTCCTTCCACCCTTCAGACTCCCCGCCCATCCAAACCCGCTGCATCACACCCTCCTCCTGCGCCTGTCTCGCCTTGAGCTTCTCAATCTCCTCCTTCAGCCCCGGATCCGGCGCCCTGCGCTGCTTATCCGAAAGCGACAGGATTTGCGCCTTCAGCCGTTCCTGCTCAGCCTGGCGGAGCTGCGCATCGCGCGCTGCCCGGAGTCGTTCTTGGATCTCCTGCGCGCGCTCGCTCGGCAGAGAAGAGAAGGACCCCTGCATGCGGGAAATGCGCGCGTCAATTCGGTCGACGATGCTGCGGCCTGTACGGTCGTGGACGATGTGGTTTGCGGATGCGCCGAACGAGCAGAGGACGAGGACGGTGAGAGGGTCGAGTTTGCGTGGTGGGAGGGCGATTAGGATCGGTGCGCCGATGAGGAATGTGTAGGCGGCATAGTTCTTGAAGCGTTTGTAGTCTGCTTCGCGGGTTGCGTTCAGGTCTGGGGGTGAGGGGGTTGCCATGGCTTTTCTTGTGGATTTGGGATTTGGCAAGAGGTTTGGAGGGAAATTTATGGTTGCAGGGTTGGGCTTGGCGGATACTTGGCAGGGTCGGGTTGATGTAGTTTGTTCATTTACACACCAGTTTACTTGATCTTGGGTTTCGGTTTCGGTTTTTTTTTTTAAAAAAAATGAGCAGATCAATAGATGGGAATTCGGGTGCCATGAAACTACTCCTTGCTTCTTACAACACAGGGGGAAAAAAAAACAGATATCAAAAAACCATCTCAACTAGATACCGTACACTACTGCGCTTGGGATTCACCAAGACCTCTAGACAAGATGTGTAGCCACTGTTTAAAATCACTTGAGCATTCTTCTCAAATGGATAGAGCAGTAACGATCTAATATCGTACAGTAGGAAACAAGAATCTAACTTCAGCTTAAGAGGTAATTGGCACAGTGGACAATCCCAGCCTGTCAGTGTTCAGGTCGATGTTATACAATTACCAAATCCAACTCTATACCCTCCAGGGCTTACTTTCCCCCTTTGACCCTCTTCGACCTCTCCATATTCACTCCCCCATCTGACTACATCTCCAAAATCCCACAATCACGATGTTTGCCAACGGTCTCTTCACTCGGTTCTCCAACGAGTCCTTTCAAACCCCTACCTCGGATGCCCCGAGTGGCATCGAGAACCACCAGCCAACTAGCCCCAAGGCCCCCTCCACCGACCGCCGGGCGATCAAGCAGCCGGTACGCCATACAAGACTAATCTCCCCCTAACAAACGCGCTCAACCCCCAAGCTAACATCCTCCCAGAACGCCCAGGAGAACATAGTGAAGCTGCGTGGTGGCGGCACTGGTGATATCTGCTGTGGCCTGTGAGTCAAATGCTCCACGTCACAACCGAACCCCCCCCCCCCCCAAACCTCGATAGTCATCCAGTTGTGCCGGTCTTCTCTGCTTCGAGTGCTGTGAGTGCTGTGAGCATTGCTGCTAATTGCGTGGTGGCTCGAACACGCTATCGGCTTGATCCTCTCGATATCCTCGATACTGTGCCTGGTGCTTGATGGGTCTGCGTGTTTGTTACGTCCGATGATAGGGGCTTCGAGTGCTTGGGTTGGGGGATGTCGAGAAGTGGGAATTAGCCGGGCTCGGGACGTTATTGTTCTTTTTTTCTATGCTTTGAGATATCTCTTCAGTGATTATGACTCTCATTCTGGGCTACTTGCCAGAACCTTTTCTTGCAAATGGAGTCCAGACCCAGCTTGAGATACCAAAATTCATTTTCGAGCTGGGCAATTTGAAATTCAATCTCTTTTTGGTCGATTGTGGATTCTTAGAGCCGCCTCTTGCAAGCTGTACGGGTCTGATGAGAAGAGTCATACCGCTTTCTCCTTTGGACAGTGTATGAATCAAAAAATGATTTGTGCTATGAAACTACGTGAAGTGAAGAGATTTCCTGAATATTTTTCCATGATGTGACTTTCTTTCAATCCGCAGAACCTCGATAGATAATCTTGAAGCTCACCCCTCAAGCTCATCTCCAGGCACAATCCTCAAACCTCAGACTCAAAGTTCTTCCTCGTCATCCCTGTTAGGCGCATCGGAACAGACTAGTCTTTCCAAATCATCCACTAGGGATTCCACGTTTGAAGCACCAGACGCTGTATTGGAAGACACGGGCACTTCATTGGACGACATAGCCTCTGCGTTGGAAGAGTCGTCATCTCCATTAGAAGAGAGGGCCTCCGGGGTTGAAGAAATATCACCCGCACTCAACGACGGGACATCTTCATCCGAAGACCCAGGAGCATTATGCTCAGGCTGGCTACTCACATCGAACCCCATCTCTCCGGACTCCAGTTCCTCGCCAATCATCCGCGGGATATCAGCAAAGCCTCGAGTAACTTCACTGAGGTCCTGTTCAATTTGGCCAGTGGTGACACGGAAAGCACACTTGGAATATCGAGCCTCCATATGGGCAACGAGCGCGGCGAGGGTCCTGAATCGTTTGAAGCATCGAGGGCAACTACAAATTAGATGGTTAGCGAGAATCTCGTTGCAAGAAAAACGAACAGAAAACGAAGATACTCACTCATTGATTGCTTCATCCTCCATCGTCAAGTGATACTCAAAGGTGGTAGCATACAAGAAAGACGAACCGCAGTTGCAGTAGTAGCGACTTTTTTCGGGATTCCAGAACTTCTCCGGGTCCACGCCTTGGATCTTGCGGTGAGCCATGGCTCGGCAACGAGTGGGAGCCACATAGCGAGAAGGGCCTTCTCCTTGGGCAACTGGATTGGATCCAGAGGGAACTGCCCCGCTTGACTGCTTAATGGCTCCGTGGGCAGACGGGAAAGGATCATCGTAGCGGATTGAGGGACCAAAATTATCATCGAGGAGGACACCTCCGGGCGATTCAGTGGAGCTACTTCCCGCTTTTCCTTTGGCTGGGGTCGTTGGAGCGCCCAGTTCGAGCCATTTGTCATGAGGGTGGGTTGCAACCCCCGTATCATGAGCAGGACGCTTTCCTTCCATACGGGGAATAGAGAGATTCAGCAGAACGCCACCATCTGTATCCAGGTCCTCGCTGGAGCTTTCAGAGGGAGGAGACTGTGGTCCAGGAGAATCTTTGCCCATCGTCAAAACACTTGTTGTGCTGTGAAGTTCATAGTTGGCGCCCTCGCGAGCTTTCTCTGGCAGGGCAAGAATAGGGCACGCCTTGTCTTCAATATGTTTCATGACTGCCGAGGCGGACTTGTACTTGCAACCACACCCCTTGCAGGCAATTTCGTGATGTTCGCGATGATTCTGAACATGATGATTCTGTTAGTACTGTTTCCTATTTGTACGGATGTCACTACAGAGAATGGTAGAAGACTCACGTTTCTCATGTGAACCTCCAAACCAGCCTCGCTGCGGAGCTCGAGACAGCATTCGGGGCAAGCAAAGTGACGGTCACTCATAATCTTGTGTAGATGGAGTGTCTGCTGAGACTGGAAATCGAGGTCACATTTCATGCAGTAAGAATGTCTGTCCGCATTGGCCTTGTGGTGTTGCATCTCGCTGACGGACTCAAAGCTCAGTCTGCAGCCCTTGAAGGTACAAAGTACCCCCTCCAGCTCTTGAGCCATCACAAAGCGCCTTAATAGGCTCTCAAGGCGACGAAGTGCCGTGTATCAGCGAAGGATGGATGTGATGTGGGATATCAAGAAAGTTGGAGAAGGAAAGGAATAACAGAACGATGAAATCAGAAAAACAATGAGAGGGGGAGAGTAGAAAAGCTTACGGCAACTTCTCAAAGCGTTCAAGGCAAACCAAGTGATTGCTTTCTCTTTGATAACCATTGGCCGTGGCTGGGTCTGTCAAGATAGGAAGAGGCCATGGTTCGATATTGGGTGATTGATCAGAGGAATCTAGAAATCCCGAAAAAGTAGTAAATCACTTTGGTTTGATGAGGCCGGGACTCGATCCCAGGACTTTTGAGATTTCCGCTGACTCTCATCGTCCTCGTTCCTTCCCAAAATGGGGGTCTGAATAGCCTCATTTTTGACTTGAGATGCAGGTACCCTAGGTGCAAAGTGGCCCCCCAACCACCACTTTGAGGTACTTGGAAGGACCTCAAAATTAATACCCAGATAGCCACATAGATTTAGATACTGTGTTGTTAAAATGACACTCATTGATTCCCAGGAAGACAGAAAAATCAAAGATCCAAGAATCCTGAGTGACTTGGCCATTAAGTTTTACTCCTATTTGAAGAAGATAAGAACTACTCTTTCAACCAGCCCCCCCCAGTGGCCCAGCGGTATTATGGCCGGGGCATCCCACACCAGGATGTCGCAACGGGTTTTACTTGCTCCCCACTGTCGGTCGGACTCCTATATGCTGAAGCTCTCCCGAGGCACTACGCTAGGCAAACCCCCCGCGGAAGGGTATAGTCCCCCGTTACTTAGGGGGGAGGCCGTAGTTAGTACGGTGGGTAGAGGTGTATAGGGGAATGGCCGGAGGAGAGGACCATGTACATCGAGAGACCAGACTCTGTCCATACCCTCCTGAGGTCTAGGAACGGTCTAGATTAATGGGGACTTTTTTTTTTGGGATGTGGATGTTGAGGGATGTTAAGTGAGGCTTCCCTCTTATTCCTTCCCTTTCGTCTTTCTTCTCTTAATGCCCTTCACCCGTGTAGGGCCATCGTGCTTGAGCTAACACAACTGCTGTTTCGGTCAAATAAAGGTCCACCTCGATTGCTCTCCACACAAGTTTCGACGATCCAATCTGTCTTTGAACTTTGCAGTACCCAGAAATCCGATCGAAATTCCCGCTTTGGTCGGATGCTGGGAATGACGCTTTTTTCTTTCTACTATCCTATACTTCTCTCAGATCGGAAACGGCAAGGTCACTCTTGAAGGCACTAGGCTTGTTGATGAGACACGAAGAATGATACCATAAAGTCCCTCTTAGTACGATAGCTCGGCTCTGTTCTCGCAATATCCTTATGCTTAGAATCGAGAGAAAGGCAACCTGCTTCTCCGTTAGATCATTATTCAGCAAGAATAGTAGAAATACTTTTACCATTTACCACGAAGAGTGATGACAGCCCAGTTATTACCATCCTCATCAGTCTCCTTCTCAACGTTTGTCGAAAAGGAGATGGCACTCATAATCCCATCCCCAAACTTCTCATTGAGAACCGCCTTGTACGCATAGCCATAGTTCTGCACAATCTCATACAGTCGGTAGATAAGGGGCTCCTTTGGCGGCATTTCGACGGAGCGACCGCGGTCGGGGAAGCCGTTGAGTTGCTCCTCCAACGGTTGCTGGGGGATGAGAAGCAGATCGGCCAGCTTTTCAATGTCTTCAGGTGACGCTTTAGCCTGGCCGTAGAATATGGCAGCTGCAGCTACTTCATTGCGACCAAGATGTTCCCCAATCTTCTCAAATGTCAGCTGACGAGCTGCCTTAGCTCTGAAGAGTGTTGTGGATACAGCGGGGAGGTTGGGATGCAATGTAGTCTGAAATGAGGTCAGCGGGGTTGCGGATCGACAACAGGCATTCTCACATCCAGGGTTGCGAGAGACATGATGGACTGGGATGAATGATCTTTAATTGGGGAACTTGATTGGGGAAGGAGTGATATCTTGCGACAATGGTTGAGTGTTGGTTGAGGTTCGGCTGTGGAAGATTAGAGGTACTTTGGAACAGACGTACTGCGGGGAACCAGGTTCTGATGCAATGTTTATGATGCATGGATTCTAGGGTTTTCGGCACAACATGACTGATCTCTGGAAGTTCCCCTGCACCCCACCATCTTGTAAATCACCCGAATCTGCTACTCACAATATCCGCGGACTCAGAGCAAGTCCCTTAGATTACGCTAGTACGTTACAGAACCCTTTTGGTCAGCTAGTGTTAAGACAAAGAGCGCATGAAAGAAGAAGAGTTACAGGCGAATCACCGCTTCTCACTTATACACAAATAAGACTGTATTATAAGATTAACCTATGACGGTCAAAGTTTATCAACTATCCTTCACGGTGGAAATGAAGTCAACAACAGATCATTTCATAAGCCTCCCACCAGTAGGCGCACTAGAGATTGCACGCGGTAGGAAAACCACCGTATATTGCATTATCCTACCTAGCAGCCATTTATCGCATCTAGTTCTATACCACTGCTCCATGACAGTACAGTGAGCATTTGGTTTGTCTATCACATAACGAGACTAAATCCAACACAGACAGTAAAAAATCCACACATCGTAATGAAATTTGCCAGGGATGGATATTGAAGCACCCTATTTATCTACATCAGATCGTCTTGAGCGGTATACCAAAAGTTCCCCCGCGAAAGTATTGTTAGGCGACTGAGAGTTTCTTGCACCGCTGTCCTTTCTATTAGCCGGATCCGGTGAGGGGTTCGAAGGAAATCGGTTCTTGAAGAGGACAGAACAGCCTTTTTTTTCATTTCGCGAATTCAAATAGTGACCAATAGGTTAGTCTTCTCTCATGTTCAAAGCGACCTTGAAAACTTAAATGACTAGGCATTCACTCGGACTAGGTTCCTCTATTCAACACTCCAATCACCGGAGACCTACCCATTTCAATAGTAGTGCCAGGATCGGCCTACAAAACTTGCTTGGCGTGCTTTGACGGCTGAAGACTGCTGTTGGCATTATTGGTATGATTGAGCACTACATGCATTATGCTGACTACGCAATGCATGGAACTGTATGTACATGCAGCTATACCTACGCTTATAACCTTGGCACCAAAACTGGATGTATTGTCTAGACCGGTTGGCAATTTGGGTAAACTTTCAAAGTCGCCTAGGATACCTATGTCAAGCATAGATTTCAATCAACGTACGTAGTCTGTAATATGCATTGCTCTATACACTAGAGCTTGTTCTGACTCCCAGCACCGAGTGGTTGATGAAAAGTAAGATAGCCATTTGACCCAGCCCCATTGGGCACTGACATGTGTACAGTCGAGTGATATGATGGTTCTTTACTATATTGTTGCAGAGATGTAGATCGTATACTATCTGCATCCAATAGAATCATCGGAGAATTTGAAATAGTGGGTCTACCCGTGGCTTAAGATCGTTCCGATAAGCTCCTATTGGTCTGATTATTGATCATTCAAAGAATTCATCCGGTTCACCGGTTGATCAATCATCACGGTGTTGTTTTCCTCCGATTTAGGTACTTTAGTAGATGTTTGAGAGGCGCAGTTTGCTGTTATTACTATTGGAGAGGACTCCCGGGCTACGGTTGCCAGGACATATAAACGACAGCCTAGCACATCAATCAACACATCTTTCATTTTCAAATCTCTCTGCTCAGTCAATCCACATTCACAACAAGATCATGGACCTCAAGTCGTTTAAAGTTGTCATAGTGGGTGGCAGCGTTGCGGGGCTATCACTAGCCTTGATGTTAGAAAGAAATGGCATCGATTTCGTCATCCTAGAAGCATACGGCAGCATTGCACCTCAAGTCGGGGCTAGTTTTGGCGTTTTGCCCAACGGATTCCGCATTCTTGACCAGCTCGGTTGCTATGAGTCAGTTCTAAAGATGGCAGAATACCCTATGGACACATTTCATTTCCGTGATTCGCAAGGACAACCATTCTGGACATTCAATAACTTCAAGGAGACTTTAATGGGAAGGTTTGTCGTCATCCAACTTTATATGCCGGCATAGCATCAACAAAATCAACTAACTAAATCTACAGTCATGGTTATCCTGTCGTCTTCCTCGATCGGCGCATGTTGATAGAGGTCCTCTTTGAAAAGATCCAGAATAAGGCCAAAGTTCTCACCTCTCAGCGGGTGCAGAGTGTTGAGAATGGTACTTCGAGTGTCACAGTTACCACAACGACTGGTCAAACTTATACCGGGAGTATAGTGGTCGGAGCAGATGGAATTCACTCCAAAGTTCGTCAAGAAATGTGGAAAGCGGCCGAAAAGATAGATCCCACGTGGATTGATCCCACCGAGAAATCTGGTATGAAAACCAACCCTCAACACCTGAGAACTATCAGCTAACCCCCGTGAAAGCACTGCCTGCAACCTACGCGTGCATCTTCGGCATTTCCAAAGGCGTGAAGGGAATCGAGAAAGGCACACTGAGCTCGGTGCTCAATGAGCATTACTCATATCTTGTTCCCAGCGGACCCGGAGATCTCACCTACTGGTTTCTTGTGCGGAATATGGGAAAGACGTACTATGGTGAGGAGATCCCTCGATTTACCAAGGAGGAGGAGGAGGCGGTCGTAAAGGAACATTTTCATGACCAGATCACTCCTACGCTGCAATTTTCCGCTCTTTACAACAGCAAAATCGCCTCGGTGTACACTAGTCTTCCAGAATACGTCTATAAAAGATGGTATTTCCAGAGAACTATAACTATTGGCGACGCCAGTCACAAGGTGAGACTACTAGCCTGAGACGAAAATCATGCGAAGACTGACAAAGGTTTCCGTACAACAGTTTGAGCCCTTGACAGGCCAAGGAGGCAACAATGCAATGGAAACCGCCGCATCCTTGACGAACCATCTCGTCGCGGCACTCCAAAACTGCAAGTCAAGCACGCTGTCATTGGCAGACATTTCCAACATCTTTGAGGGCGTTCAGCGGCAGCGTGAAAGACGTGCGTGGGAGTTGGTCAAAGCATCCCATGCCCGGCAACGTCTGGAGTGTCAGGAAACGCCATTCTTGAAGTTCGTGGGAAAATGCGTGATGCCACGGATCCCGAAATCCGTTTTCCTCAGCAAATGGATCGATGCATATTCTCCCGCGGTGTCTTTGGACATGCTTCCACTGCCACACAGGCCTCGAGAAATCGCCTATTTCGACGAGCGTTTCAGAACACCGTCATCCCGAGGTGTAGTGAGCATCGTGTTGTACGCTGCGTACTTCTGCTTGGCCTGGTTAGGCTATCGCCAATTATCGACAGCAATCATTACAAATGGAACAATGGCGTTGGTCGACCAGGCAATCCAGAGCCAGTCGGTGGTGTTCCCAGAAGGAGCTGAAGCTCCCCTGCGCCGGGTGTACACGGGGGTCGGACCCGTTGACCTTGTTCTAAAGGTCCTCGTTACGATGTTCCTGCCTGCAGTCTCCGACTTCTCTACACCGGAGCAGCCCTTGCAATTTCTGTACTTCCTGGCTTGGACGATGCCAATTTTCGCCATCTGGACGGTTGAAGGGTTCCGGCCAAGAAACAAATGGACCCTTCTCGGTACTCCGAGTCTGTGGGCTGTTCTGTATCAGTTGCATGGATTTGGGCTGATCGCACCGCTCTATGTTTCATCAAGCACTTATATTTCCTCTGGGATAGCGTACTTTTCCCCAAGTACCCGCTCGCTTCCTGAGTCCACCGCTCGGGCGGTACTGCCTGCACTGATGCTGGGATTCGTTGTGCCCACAATCATGCTATTTTTACCATTGGCCGATGCCCTGAATATGCGGCAAGTCTTTATTGCGCTGTGGCAGCCGGCTCCGGTGTATGTGGTTATCTTGACTCGGATGTTCTCCTGTGTCTTCAAATCGACCGGTTCGAGCTCACCGGCCAAGAATGATGGTGCCGCGGCGCAGACCAAATCTAACCGTGATATCCCATACTTGCAAACCCTCTTCGCTGTGGCCGGTGGGATATCTGCTTGTTTCCATGTGGCCTTGCTGCTAAGTTGGGCTGCCTTGGGAACCAAATTCATCACCAAGGCATGCATCCCATCCGAGGCCTTTCCACAGGTGGCAAAAATTGCAAACGGTGTCTTCATATTTTTCCAGAATGACTTCCTGCTTGCGACAACGGCAACTCTCCTGTGGTGCCTAGCTAGCGTGTGGGATTTATACCGTATTGGGGTTTCTAATGTCTCCTGGCAGGTGGCCCTGGCTAGTTTGATTCTGGGTTCCTTCGCGATTGGACCGGGTGCGACTGTGGCAGCTGTGTGGTACTGGCGGGAGGAGGTTATGAGTCGGACATCTTTCCACCGGCATGGTCCGGGTTTTTAGCTCAGCCGGTAGTACTTGATGGTGCCATTTCGGTCTTACAGGGCCAAATGATCAACTCAGAGAGGTCGCAGCAAACTCCCAAGTCTTGCCGGCGATACAAGGGTGGGGCAAATTGTTCCGAACGAGATTGGGTCTGATACATCGGTATATTATGTGTGTGTATGTTTATAACGAGGGATAGGGTATTATGATGTTCCAGGTTGAAAGACAGATATTGACACTAGGTCATTCTGGAGAGCCAGTAACTCCAACTGAGATCCACCGAGCATTATGGGATACTACCCTCTCGATGTCAGACCGGCGAAAGCCCGCCACACAACCCAGAGAGACTGGAAGCTGGCTCAATCCTGGCTAAGTTAGCTTTTATCTTTTACTTTTGACGCCGAAAATAGTAGCAAATAATAGTGTAAGCATACTGTTGATCAATTTGTAGTCGTCGATGACCATCATCATGCTGTCAGGTAACTCGCCTAGGGGGGGCTCTAAGTCCAAATGCCTGACGGCTGAACTGGATGGACGAGATATCGTAAGGGCGGGTGAAGAAGAATCGCCTAGATGAATGCCCTGGTTGAGCAGGTATCTCTCAACATCATGTACATCAAACCAGTCTTCGTCTGCAGGAAGATGAGACACGCCGTTCGTTGTTCGGAATAGCGCGAAGCTGTCTGAAAATTCGTCAATGGAAGGTTGTACGAAGTGTGTTCCTGCGCCACCGAGGCTAACATATGGGAATCGAGCATCGATGATTGGATTACAAGGTTCCATTTTGATGACACGTGCGAAATATTCTCGGATCTCTGCTCGCGGCATTTTTTGTAGCAGTAGTCCAAACTCTCACATGTCTTCATCTTTATATATCTCATTCGACAGAAATCGATGCCCACTTTCAGCACAAGCGCGGAAAAGCCGTTGGGTGAAGGGTGTGGTTGCGTATTGAATCGTGTGTGTATCAGCGATAGGTAGTGTCATAGGAATGGGAACCAAGTCCTTCGATCGGTTATACAGGGTCTGGGTGTTAGTCGATGGAATCATGCCAGCGGACGAGCCCAAAAACAATTTCCAGAAGTCCGACTCTAAAGTATGATCTTTTAATCTGCCCCTTGGTACCTCGGAGGCGACCTGTGCGTGTAATTGCTCAACGACAGCCGGTGATGATTCTGACATTTGCTTCTTTGGAGGCTCTTGGAACTGAATGTCGGCCCGCTTGAAGTGGGACACTATATCATCCCGTAGCAACTGAACTGTCCGAAAAAGGTCAGGTTGAGACCACTGCGACCCATTCTGGAGCATTTGGTCATCGAATGCATGCATGGTCTGGCTCAGGTGATAAAACGCATCTTCCAGTTGCTCTACGCGAGCTTTTAGTGAAGAGAGCTGGGACTTTTGGCGAGAGCGATATGCCTGTTGCGCCTCGCGGACCTGGGCGCGTCGCATCTATGCCAGTGGGTGAGATTGAGGTACTATTCTTTTTTTTTAATCTTTTGTAGAAAGGCGTTACTCACGGCTTTTGCATCGGCTGATTTTCGGGGTCGCCCAAGAATGCTCTTTTTTAATTGGGCTGTGGACATTTCGGCACAATTCACTGAGGTGCACTATTCGACCTCGGGAGTTGTCAGAAGGTTCCCGGAGTCCACATGTCGACATGCCAAGCCCGTACTTCCGAGCGAGGTGTGTTTGACTTGTTTCGACATGAACTGGGAATTGGTGATGGAATGGCTTCACGGTCTCTTTTGACCTTGCTTTCCTTCAATTTGGAGATCGAGTCAAGGTTTTAATATTCGTCTTATTCCCTTAGGACTGTATTATATATCAACCTGTCTTATGATATTTCCCCCACTACTCCGTATTAGTGACTCGAATATCCGAGAAATTTCATTTTGATATCTGCTGTACTCCGGCCACTGCCACGTAGGAAAACATAACGTTGTCTCACCTATGCTATTAGATCCAATAGTCTAAGAATAACCAAAATTGGGAAAGACAACTGTGTCTTACGGAGTACAGCTACACCGCCACGTTCACTCCGTTCCCATCGTGGCTAGGGTAGCGGGGGCCTTCGGATTTAAAAACAGTCGCACCCCGCTCTGCAGGCATCCTTGTTTCTTGAATTTGTCTTTCGTTTCTTTTTTGTTGTGCCTTTTCAACGTTCAATTTAATCTGCCTGCTTTGACAGTCAGCATGTCTAACCAGAATGATCTGGCTTATGGTGGTTACTACCAAGGCACGGAGCCTGGGTCCGGAGACGGATCCCGCGGTCTAGGCGATACCTTCAAGAAGCTCCGCGATACCTACACAAGCCATGGATCTGGCCAGGCGAATCAGACAGATAACTCAGGTGGTTATCAAGGTGTAGGTTTCATCCTCCTTCATTCTCAACATTCACTGACCGGCTTTTTTTTTTAAACAGCATGATCAGAACCAAAACACAAGTGGACAGCATCAAACCCCTAAAGAAGACAAACTTTCCGGCTTCTTGGGGAAACTTCAAAGCACAGTGACCGAGTTGGGTTCCGAATTTGCGCAGAAGATCGGTACCGCCCTCGACCCACAGGCGTACGCCGAGTACGGTCTCAGCAAGCCTAGCACAGAGCATCGATTTGGTAGCTTCGCTCCTACCCGGGAACACAATGATGTCAAGTGGCATGTGGATGGTTGTAGCTATTTCTGGGCTGTCTCGCGAGCTCTGGAAAATGCCCGAGAGTCAATTTGGATTCTAAACTGTGAGTTTCAATCTTCCCCGGATTTCCATTGCATGCGGCTAACTTGACGTAGGGTGGTTATCTCCCGAACTTTATTTGAGAAGGCCACCGGCGAAAAATGAACAATACCGATTGGACCGCATGCTGCAAGCTGCAGCCCAGCGGGGCGTGCGCGTCAACGTGATCGTTTATAAGGAGGTTCCGCAAGCGCTCACTCGTATGTCTATGATCCCTTGAAATGTTGAAATTCAACTAACGGTTTGTTCCAGTGTCTTCTTCTCATACCAAGGAAGCCCTAGAGAGTTTGCACCCTAATATTGCTGTCTTTCGTCACCCTGACCACATGCCTGACCGCCAAGAGCTGGTAGCTGATATCGAGTCGACCTTCAAGAACATTTCCCTCGATTCGGCAAGTTTGAGTAAGATGTCAAAGGACACACTGAAGGGACTGTACGGAATGAACGACGATGTCATTCTGTATTGGGCTCATCACGAGAAGCTTTGCTTGGTCGATGGTCGGATTGCATTCATGGGTGGCTTGGATTTGTGCTTCGGCCGCTGGGATACCAACCAACATGGAATCTCGGATCTACATCCCTCGGATGTCAGTCAAAACGTATACCCTGGCCAGGACTACAACAATTCTCGCGTCCTTGATTTCCAAGATGTCGCTCACTGGGAGAATAACGAGCTAGATCGAAAGACCATGTCTCGCATGGGATGGTCTGATATCTCCGTGAGCTTGCACGGTGCAGCCGTAGAAGATTTGCGGCGTCACTTTGTGGAGCGATGGAACTTCATCTACGATTTGAAATACAAGGTTCGGAATGAAACTAGATACGCAAGACTGGCACTCCATGGAACGCCCGCTTCCTCGACTGGCCCCTCGACTGGCCAACAACAGGCCGGTTCTCCACAGCCCAACTCGAACTCCTCGGGTCAGGCAAACCCACATGGTCAGCCCCCTGCGCCATCCTGGCAGCATAAGCCTAGTGAAGTTACATCGCCTACCTACCCGCCGCCGCCAGGTCAGACGTCATCGAGTCCATCGCAGCCACAGTCTCAACCTCAGCAGTATCAGCAGTATCAGCAGTATCAGCAACAGAACCCGCCTACCTCGTACAACTCTGAGGATGCTTCGACCTATCCCCCACCGCCCAGCCAAAGCCATCTAGGTCATCAATCTCAGTCTGCTCAGCCCCCGAGTTATGATCCTAGCCAGTATAGCTACACTGGGAACTCATTCCCTCCTCCTCCGCCTGGACCCCCTCCAGCGCAGTTCAATGCCAACACCTCGTATCAGCACTACCAACAGGGCCAGCAACAGGAGCAGACGCCCTATTTCCCACCTCCACCCGGCCAGGAAACATCACACTACAACACCCGTGGAATTGATGACCACCAGCATGGAGGTGATCGGGATCGAGGTTCTTTGGTGCCCGATCGTCTCCGAGAGGACCTGACCCAATATGGCAACTCTCTCCGTGGTCAGCTCGCTGGACAAATTCACCACTACCAGGATCGACTCGCTACATATGGCCGCCCTTCCGCCTCGCAAGGCCGAGGCAACATGTCATGCCAGATTGTGCGCAGTTGTGCGAAATGGAGCAACGGCAGCCAGCTTGAGCATTCAGTTGCCAACGCATATTGCGCCATCATTCGAAACAGTGAGCACTTTGTCTATATCGAAAACCAGTTCTTTATCACTGCGACCGGTGATTCACAGCATCCAGTGAAAAACCAGATTGGCGCCGCCATTGTGGAGAGGATTTTGCGTGCTGCCCGTGCTGGTCAGAAATATAAGATTGTTGTGGTTCTTCCATCTGTGCCGTGCTTTGCCGGTGATTTGGGAGATGAGAAGACTCTCGGAACACGCGCGATTATGGAGTTCCAATACAACTCCATCAGCCGCGGAGGTCACAGTATCATGGAGCTGATTGCTAAGGAGGGATTCAACCCTACGGAGTACATCCGGTTCTACAACCTTCGCAATTATGATCGGATTAACAACGGTAGTATGGTGGCTGCAGCTGAACAGCAAAGCGGTGTCAACTACGAGGATGCCCGCAGACAGCACGATTTGAACACTGCGGGCCCTGGTGGAAATGCCCCAAGCGCTACTAGTAGTGCTTTTGATACTAGCGCACCGTTGGAGCAGTACCAGCAGGCTGCACAACAGGTACAAGGCGGTCATGCTTCCTCGGGTCGGTGGGACAGTGTGAGCGAGTGCTATGTGCTTGGCGGAGAGGACATTCGGAACGTGCCGTGGGACGGCCACCCCGATGCCGAAATTGATGCGTTTGTGAGCGAAGAGCTTTACGTCCACTCCAAGGTCCGTTTCCCCTGAAACTCGGTGATTCTTCAAACCTCTAACAAACACATTAGGTGATGATCGCCGACGATCGTGTAGTTGTATGCGGATCCGCAAACCTGAACGACCGTTCTCAACTGGGTGACCATGACTCTGAGATCGCAGTCATTATCGAAGACTTTACGCCTGTGGCATCCAGCATGGATGGTAAGCCATGGACTGCCAGTCACTTTGCTTCGTCACTTCGCCGCCAATTGTTCCGGAAGCACCTGGGTCTTTTACCCCCGCAAGACTATCAACGACCGGATGCAAACTTTGAGCCCGTGGGAGTTCCCAACCACTTCGACTTCGACTGCCCTGAGAGCAAGGTTGTTGCCGATCCGCTTTCCGACACTACTCAGAGTCTTTGGAACTCGCGGGCGCGCACAAACACCGAGGTCTTCCGGAAGGTATTCCACGCGGTTCCGGATGACACCATCCGCAACTGGGCTGAGTACAAAGAGTTCTATGAGTACTATTTCCACAAGAACGAAAAGGAAGCTGAGGGCCTGGAAGGATCGGCAAGTCCAGCACGATTCCAATGGGGACACGTTGTGAGCGATGACTTTGCGCCTGGTGCAGAGGGGGCCAGGCAGGTCAAAGAGCTGCTTAGCCAAGTCAAGGGTACTCTGGTTGAGATGCCTTTGATGTTCTTGATTGAGGAAGATGTCGCGAAGGAAGGATTGACTCTAAATGAGTTGACGGAGACACTCTATACCTAAGGGGGAGACTGCATTTGCCAAGTTGGGATTGTTATCTTCGATCATCTCGTTCATTCTTGTATTCAAGCATTTCTATTAGCTAAACTGTTGTCCCTACGCGAAGTCTAACTTCTTATGGTAGCGATGCTATTCGGGAAGCACCGCTTTCTTTCACGTCCCCAAATGAAACCGACACCGATACTCAACATCATGCAATCAACCAAATGATCTGAATTTTTTGATGCCAAGGCCCGAGATGATATTGTTCCTGAAGAACAATCGTAGGCGGAATGTGATTGTGGTAATTGGTCAATCTGAGCTTCCTTTGTTCGCGACGCAATCCCTATTGGGTGAAACCAACCACATATTCCGAAGTGTTCTTTCATACTTTGAGACCCCAGCTTAATATTGTTCTTATCACCATGAAAGACTTATGAATGTGCTAACTGCACGTGCCCGATACAGGAGCCCTCGGCCATCTCTGTAGCGTTCCTTCATGAAAGACAACCCCGGCCTAGCCAAATCGGCCTCGGAGGATATGTGATACGGTCAGTATCAAAGCTACTCCATGAATGCGCTGGCTGTTTACTAAAACAAAGAGAAACTTCCCGAGGCAACGACGCCTACATTCATGAACTCGAGAACAATATCAAACAGCTCCGCAGTGGACATCCACTGCAAGCCCAATCCCCTGCATTCTGGACTGAATCTATGCCTTCATCAATGCCCAATGCATCGAAGTCAGCAAGTCAATGGGATATCTGCAATGACTTGCACTTCCTAGGTGGGATCTCGATCACTTTACAGTCCGAAGAACAGTCCTTCGTCGAACATAAATATCAGCTGGCAGACCCAGCTTCAATTTTTTTTTCTCCACCACCCGCTCACAATTCGATCATTCCAAACAATCTTCCAATCTTTCCAAGCTTCCGCTTTTTAAGTTCTTCTCAATCTTCGAAATGTCTCGCGCTCAGGTCCAGAAGCAATGTGAGTGGCCTCCAAAGCACACCATGTGTCATCGCCTCTCCTATACATCCATATACTGACATTTCATCTCTTATAGCTCCCGGTGGCGGCTGCGTCGTCATGAAGTCCCCCGGCGGTGGCTGTGTCGTCATGAAATCTCCTATTCCCAACGGCTGCGCCGTCACTCGAACCCCCGGAGCCGGCTGCGACATCATGAAGCGGTCTCCCGGCGGTGGCTGCGTTGTCATGAAGTCTCCCGGTGGTGGCTGTGTCGTCATGAACCGTGAGTAGTGTCTACTCTCCAGGTAACGACTGATATACTAATATATCTTGGATAAGCTTCTGACTTCTAAACGCTCTCCATGAGCGCCCCCCATGCCAACATCCTATTAACCACCATGGCTTGACCTGTCTCGTTGGTCGCCATGGTCGACACTGAAATGCATTAACTTCTTGATCTTCACCGCGGCCCCTTGAGAACGCTTTCAACTTTTCGATCAAAAAAATCAATCCCTCGAAACATGACCTCTCAGCGTTGCTTTTGCTTTTGTGAAGACTCCTTACGAGTCTGTCTGTCCAGTCCATTCTTTTTTTCGACGAGTACAGTTCAATTTCCTTCGACGGTCTTCTCGACTGCCGATTCTGATTTGTCTCTTTCGAACCCTTCGTGGACGATCCGGGTGACCACAGTCTCTTAGAAAGGGACCTGTTTTCTGTTCCTTCAGCTACATTCGCGGGATTTCCATAACATGCTTCAAAAATCGATGGGTTGTTTTTCCTTTTCAATGTGGTGCGGGTTCCTCTGGTTTCTTGTCTGGTGGGTGGTTTGGGTAGACAAGGCTTTTATTTCCTATTTAGAATTGAATTGGTCACGGTAGTTGATAGGAATGGATCATTGCCTCAAAGAAAATTGGTTTTTTCGACATTTCTTGTAGGTCCATATACCCAAAACAAAAGGTGAATCGTGGGCTACCTGCCTACTCTGAAAGTAGTTCCTTGTTGGTCCAAAAATTGCCAGTCACAGAAAGCTACGAACTCTACTATAATGAGATACATTATAGCGCAGATGTAAGCACAATCCTATGAAATTCCATTCACAAAAGCTTCAGATCTACTCAAATTCGGTACAAGTAACCTGGATCTGTGCTTATTTCCAGATATCAATCTTCTTCCGAATCTCACTCGCCTTCGCCTCTTCAGCCTCAGAAAATTCACCCAGATCCGCATCATCAGAACCAAACACATCACTGGCTGTCTCCTCAATTTGATCTAGAGTAAGACCGATGAGTCCCACCGATCGTGCGTTGCCAATCTGGCACATTTCCTCTCCAACCGCACCTTCGATGACACCCTCGCCTCCTTTGGTGATCAGATCATCCTCGAATCTCCGGAAAACTTGGCGGAGAGGGTTCAGAACATGGCCGCGGAAGAACTTGAAGGTCTTCTCGAGATGAAGCCTGTCGCGTAGCGATGGCGAGGAAAGAAGCAAGTAGTACAGGTTCAATGCAGAATGAAGCGGTGGACCTTGAGTCTGAGTCAGACGAGACCAGCTCGCAACGAGATCAGATGCTGAGTTGGCGGCAGTGACCGATTTGAAAAGAGCTGGGAATAGAGCCCAGAAGTAGAGCGGATCCTGGAATATATTGTCGCAAGATTGGGTAGGGCTGCGGAGAAGTTCATGCCTCAGCCATGCGATAACGCTATCCCGCGCCGAGGCAAGACGGTCATCTTCCAAGACCTTGTGTATGAGCTTAAACCGCATCTCGGGAGATGGATGGCTCTGTACAATTGCGGCCGGGATTTGGCGAACGATGCCGTGGGTTTGGCGCGCTGTGCAGGCAGTCAAGATGAAAACGAAATCCTTAAATTCAATATCGCTTGACGGTGTTTCGATGGGGTGTTGCGAAGCATAGACGGTCAGAGCCAACAAGGAGTCGAGAAGGGCATGCGGTTGGCCAAAAGCCACTTCGTCGAGATTGGTGTGGCCACCAACAAAATTGTTAAATATCTGAGCCAGCTCAGGGAAGATAGATACCTGACGGGGCGGTTGCCCGGAGGCAAAGAGGGTTGTGCCAGCAGCCCGAGCCGCTAGTAGTAGGAGTGAGCCATGGCGTTCGAGCGGAATCTGATCGGGATTTGTCGGCGGGTCATCGAAGTCGAGTTGAGCGGCTTGATCTGTGGGGGATCTGGATGCGATTGACAGGAGTTCCTCGTTATCAATTCCAACGTCTCGTGATAAAGCCTGAGTAAAAGCAAAATCAGTATCATCATCCTCGGATATTGACATGGTACTATACATAATTTGGTTTCACTTACCATAAGTTTTCCCATTATCATATCGCGCTCCTTGAGCTCTTTGGTCGATCCGTATGCCTGAGTCTGTGATTGGGCGGCGGGTAGCCGCAGATCCGGATGGAGGTGCTCCTGCATTCGAATGGTCCACGACATCCCTGGATCCATTGGACCAGAGAAACTCAGAAGATAAGACTTCAGCAGTTCAAGCAAGCCGAATTGTATGAATTTCCGAACAAGGAGCGATTCGTTTTCAGTAGACGGAGAGTGCGAGGATACCTCGGCTTCGGGGTCTGGAGCTGAGGCAGCGGCAACCCTCAGCACGCTCGACTCGCTAGCAGCTCTAGGAGGTGGTGCCGGCCGCTTGGATGGAGACACTTCGCGGAAGAACTCAAGGAAAGCCAGAGTGGTCTCATTGGTCGACATTGTGGTATACGCTTCCAGTGCTGCTTGAAGGGAGGTTGCAATAAAACGACTCGGTACTTTCGTCCGGATTCGTGTGTGAAGTACCGAGAGCATACCGAGAAGGCAATTGAATTGTAGGATGTGCAGGGGCAGTCCCTGATCAGCCTTCTCATCTTCGTTCTCATCATCCGGCTGAAGTTGCATTAGAGACTCAGAGACGCGCAAGATCACTTCCCGGGGATTTCCTAGTCGAGCCACATCCTGGAGACATTCTGTGGATGCTGGTAGCATGGGCAGAAGTAGCTTGACCAAGTCCCAGCCGATATTCGTTGTGAGCTTCTCATCTTGCAGGAGAGTGTGCAAAAGCGGCAGACGTTCTGGGGTTAATTGATACTCTAACAGAGTGAGATAAGTTAGATAGTCCGTAGCAGGAGGCAGTGCTTGAATAAGAGGGTCCTCCATGGTGATGGTGTTGACAATTTGATGCTGCAGGCGCGGGGAAGATGAAACATGGCGATGACATCAGCGGCAGACTCCCGAACCATGGAAGAAACACGGGCCGATCACATCTCCGAACTATACCTCTGGGACAATTGGGATTGCGCTATTAGTTTGAACACATTGGTCTTTATCGCTGTTGTAAATCCTGAGACTTTAATCTATATCGGTTGTTTGTTCCAAAGTGAGAGGAAATTTGGGAGCGTTTTTTTTTGGTCATCAGAGCTCTATCCACGACCCCACGTAAGTATGGATATGGATACACTAATCCCTTTCAGGGGCTTCTCGGACATGGCTAGATCTCTCCTAACAAGGGTGTAGTCGGTAACTAAGTACTTAAAGGCATATAGGAGCACTCATAGGGGGGGCTTTAGCAACACCTTAAATCGATCCCCCCTTTTGTTCATCATTGTTTTCAGATCTCACGCAAGGTACTGTCTCCCGCACTCCATAGGTCAAAATGTTTTGATAATTGTGCAACTAGAACTAGGTCAAACTTACGAGTGCAGCGCTTGTTAAGGGCTAAAGTAAAGCTAACAAGGATGGCATTCTCATCCTGGAGTATTATCCCAAGTCAGCACTAACAATATCGTTCCTCGAGACAGATAGGATAGCAGTTGGATAAATCCCCAGCGGCGATCCACGATATCCTGGTATTGTATCTTTGATTTTCGTCCCAGCCAGCCCATCAGCTTGTTTATGCATTCCGCTCACAATAACTCTCCTTTTCATTCTACTCGCCTTCTGGCCAACGAGCTCGCATGGTGAAGTTAGGGAGAAATCAATGTCTCTCTCGGAACAATTGCCCAAACAACTCCTCGACTATTGGTATTCAGCCTTTGATAAGCTTATCTACTTCGCTCGTCAGAATATCAACCATCGCTACGAGATCTAGCAGTGCTGTGCCATCAACCAATATCTCAGGCCCTATCACAACCATCCCAGTCCCCACTAGTATACGCTCCTGTTCTACAACTAAACCCTCGGCGCAGCATGTTATTTTGAAATAACAGTCGACTCTAAATCAGCAGTTCGAATTTGACTTAGGGACTCTGGGACTCTGAAATGGTGACTTGGTTAACTGACCTACGGACAACTAGTCTGTCCATCAACCTTCCATGACCACAAACTTGATTACACATAGTAAACATCAGATTTAAAATATGCAAAAGCTCTTGCTAGCGAAAGATAGCCCGTCGTCGTCGGTGCACATGATTGTCAGCACATTGTATAATAGAAATCCTTGTGGCTTGTTAGGGCCTTTGGCCAGCAGAAAGGTCTTCGCCTTTGACCTGACTGATTTTTCCACGCATCCTTTTACTGCCTTGACTGAGACTAATCGACGAGCAACTAAACAGCTCTACCTCAACAATTTAGGCATAGTGTGGTTGACCGAATATCACAAGACGGAAACTTGCGACTCAAACACACCTAATGAAAGCCGATGATACCCGGTGCAACCCGAAACTTGTTGAAATGACCTTCACACACAAAAGGTCCTATTTATGGAAATAATACATATAACATAGTGAGATATGAAGGTACAGAGAGTACGGAGTAATTTATAGCCCCTTCATCAGCCACTCGGTACTCAGGGTTCCACTGCTAGGCGCGGAACGGAAAAGCCCCAGCCGCGTGGCTGGCATCGCTGGGATTGCGTAGATCCGCCCCAAATAACTTCGCGAATAATGTGACTGCCTGGCTGCTTCGCCTTTCTTGCACCTCTTGGTTGCTCTTTGTTCAATTTTCGCCTCAACTTTTAAGATCTCTCACTTTTGACAGACTCATGGACTCGCCTTCTTGCCCCCGAAACTAAAACAACGACTCACCCCAGGCACCATGGCCTCCAACGAATACTATCACACAAATATCCCACAACCCCCCGGCTACGACCATACTGTACCCCCGAAGACAGATCAAGCGCCACACACAGTTCCTGGATTTGGCTACGCAAGTCACAGCTACAACCACGGCAATCCTTCAGCCCCTTATAACGGCCGTGAAAGTCAACAATCATTTGCATCGGACAATGAACAATACCAGACAGCCGGACGGTCAACGGAAGGCGACAATTACGCAGAAAATATACCTTTAAAGACCAATGCCCAGTATGGAAACAATCCAGATTGGATGCGCCAACAAACACAGTACCCTCTATCACCAGGGGGCCTTGAGGAAAGCCAACAACGTGGTGTCCGAAAGAAGAAGGGATTTTTCAGCAAGAAGATTGCCTGGGTGACATACATCTTGACACTAGCACAGATTATCGTATTTATTCTCGAACTGGTTAAGAATGGTGAGTTCTGTTCCTGCCTCGGTACTATTCCAGCATTTCGGATTTACTGATGAATTCCTTCTGCTCCAGCCCAGATGACAGGGTCAGTCATTGAGACGAAGCCCACCTTCAATCCGATGATCGGGCCCTCGCCGTACGTTCAAATATACATGGGAGCACGCTATAACCCGTGCATGAAGAACATCAAGGGGATCCAGGATGCCAATCACACTATTCCGTGGCTCTGTCCGAATGCCACATCGACGATGGTGACTGGAACGGGGTGTACATTATCCGATGTGTGTGGCTTTAGCGGTGTCCCCAACCCCCACATTGGAGGGTCGACGGATGATCAGCCGTCTCCCAACCAGTGGTACAGATTCATCATCCCCATCTTCATGCACGGAGGATTCATCCACATCGGATTCAACCTGTGGGTTCAGGTGACCATGGGCGCTGACATGGAGCGTATGGTTGGCATGTGGCGCTATACTGTAACCTACTTTGCCAGTGGTATCTTTGGGTTCGTATTGGGCGGAAACTATGCCGCGCAGCTCAATCCCAGTGATGGCTGCTCGGGCGCCCTATTCGGTATCCTTGCACTTTTCCTTCTTGATCTGCTTTATGACTGGCCCCAGCGCGAATCTCCGTGGGTTGAGCTGATCATCATGCTCCTCGGTGTGGGCGTCTCCTTTGTTCTTGGTCTTCTGCCAGGATTGGACAACTTCTCCCATATTGGTGGCTTCATCATGGGTCTCGCCATTGGCTTGACGATTATGCGATCACCTAACGCTCTTCGTGAACGGATTGGTCTGGCACGACAGCCTTATGTTGCTATGAGCGGCGGGGCTGGCCAAGTTGGCCCCGAGCAAAAGACCACCTCCGTGACGGATTTCTTCAAGGGCAAGCGAGGCCTCACCTCCAACTCGACAGAAACGCCCGGCTCTACGAAAGGCCCGCTCTATTTCTTCAAGGGCCGCAAGCCTCTTTGGTGGCTGTGGTGGGTGGTCCGTGCCGGTGCCCTGGTTGCTGTCCTCGTTGGTTTCATTATGTTGATCGTCAATTTTTATAAATACCCCTCCTCGGACTGCTCCTGGTGCTACCGGTTGAGTTGCATGCCCGTCAATGGCTGGTGTAATCAGAACAACTTGCCTTGATTGGGCTTTCTTCTTTTCAGTCCAAGTTCAAGGATTATCCGCATCGCATCTGTTAAGAGTAGAGCTTGGATAAATCTATTAGCATTCTGACTGTAAATGGAATTTATATCTCCCACATCTATGCCAAATTGGGTCTAGAAGACTGTGTGCTCCGTATGTTGTAGTGTCCTACAACTTGATGATTTCCCTGTTCCTGAAACCGTTCTCCTGAAATAGAATACATTTCGTCATGATGCTGTCGTGTACCTTTTGTGGCTGGTTGTGGCGGAGCATGTCAAAATTACCGTACCCGATTTACCGTACCGTACTTCTCACCTGATAAGCGTCTCGTCGCATAATGTAGGTAACACTGTCCCGAGACTTGTCTTACGATTTTCCAATGCTTTGTCTATAATGAAATCGATCCTCTCAAAATCCTCCATGTACAACCTTCTTTTCCCTGTGTCATAAACGATCAGTCATGGCCACCTTGGCCTCGTCACCTCCGACCTCGCCCTCGTGGCCCAAACGACGCCCTCGAGCCTGGGCCCTCCGCTGCGAACGATACTGCTGTGCAGCAGCAAGCTGCTTTCCACTCGCCTTCGTCTACGGTATCACCACCTGGGCGGTATACGTTGCTGTCAGCATCGGCATCAAGCCCTCACGAAGTGACTGGATTGGTATGCAGGATAGCGCCCGGACTCGAACTCAAACGGGCCTACATGTCCGGGTGTACTAACGTGTGTCGGCAGGTACCCCGAGCTCTATCCTCGCATTTTCCCTCTACGCCATCCTCAACTTCTCATATACCGTCGCCGTCTTCACCGATCCGGGGTCGCCGCTCTCTACCTCTCGTGGGGCTGACCGTCATGAGTACAGCGCCCTTCCTCCCTCCGAGTACCCGGAGTTCACATCATACACTGTTACCTCGACCGGTGAATCACGGTACTGCAAAAAATGCCAGTGTCCAAAACCTGACCGCGCACACCACTGCTCGACATGCAAACGATGCGTCCTCAAGATGGACCACCATTGTCCCTGGCTGGCAACCTGTATTGGACTGCATAATTACAAGGCATTCCTGCTGTTTTTGATCTACACCTCGATCTTCTGTTGGGTTGATTTTGGGATTGCGGCCGTCTGGGTCTGGACCGAGATCCTGAACGATACCCAGTACATGGATACCATGCTCCCGGTCAATGTAGTTCTTCTGGCTATCCTGAGCGGTATCATCGGACTGGTGCTGGGCGGATTCACAGCCTGGCATATCAGTCTCGCTATGCGGGGCACCACCACCATTGAATGTTTGGAAAAGACCCGGTATGTGTCGCCTCTGCGCAAAGCACTAGACAGAAAGCGGAATGAGCAGGCTCCTGACGATAATTACTGGGGGGAGCCGGGCGAGGAACGCATATCCACCCGACTGCAAGGGTATGGGAATCGGATCATCGATGCCCACGCTAACGCAATCCCGGGAGTTACCCGAGCTGAAGAAGGCGAAGAGCACATGTACCCTGCGCCGCGCCCATCAGGGCGTCCAGGCAACGGCCTCACGCCAGCACAGCAAGCGTTGACCCGGTCATACGCCGAAATGGAGCGACAGCGCGAGCACTCGCGGTACGAGGAGTACCAAAATGACGAAGACAACGAAAAAATGCCCAGCGCGTTTGACCTTGGGTGGCGGCGTAACCTGCTCCACCTTTTCGGGGACCAACCGTTGCTTTGGGCTGTACCCATTTGCAACACCACCGGCGACGGTTGGCACTGGGAGCCCAGTGCTAAATTCCTAGAAGCGCGTGAACGCATGCGACGGCGTCGAGAACAAGAATCCACCGCGGAGCAGCAGTACTACCGCGAGTTGTACCAGCGCAATTTGGACAACAGTAATAGTTGGAGGGAGGGTGCTGCACATCCGCAACCGGTGCCGAACCGTAGTAGCTCGCCTGATCGGCCTCCGACCTCTGTGTCAATGCAGACTCTCGCACCCCGGTCGCCGCGGCCGAGGCCTGGTGATAGTGATTATGGGGATGACGTGGAAGGGGATGGGTTGTTAGATTCGGGCGCTAGCCGCCAGCAGGCTACGCGTCGTAACGCTGATGAATGGCGGGACTGGGACTAAAACTAACTGATCGTGTGTAGCCATTCTATGTAGCATGTCGAAGGCGTTGTATTTGTATCATTGTGAAAGTTATTAATGGCATCTATGAAGCGAATCCACAGCCTTGGTATGGATATGCCAAGGCTTTTTGACCACTCGGACAGGATCCCTATTGTTGTACTTCCATCAATACTCAACTACTCCAAGTATATCAAGAACATTGCCACATTCTCACTGCCCAATACCATCTTCCCCGCAAACCCGGGACAACTGTCCTCTTTAATCTAATCGCCCCTCTTCTTCCTCCAATAGTCCCGAGGTCCAAGCCGACCCCAGAACATCCCCAACTCCTATTCCAATCTTACGCACGGAGCGAACCCCAAAATGTCCTCCCCCTCAACCCGCCGCCTCCTCAAAGAAAGCACCGACCTGCACAAAAACCCAAGCCCATACTTCACAGCCGCTCCAATTAGCGACACAAACCTCCATGACTGGCACTTCACCCTAGCCGGGCCCCCCTCCCCCTCCCCCTACGCCCAAGGCCTCTACCACGGCCGAATCACCTTCCCAGCCACATACCCACTCCGTCCGCCATCCTTCCGCTTCCTCACGCCCTCCGGCCGCTTCGAGGTCAACCGCGAAATCTGTCTCAGCATCTCCGGCCACCACGAAGAGACATGGCAGCCGGCTTGGGGCGTGCGCACCGCGCTGCTGGGCATCCGCTCTGAGATCTTTGGGTCGGAGAGTCAGGGCCAGGTTGGTGGCATGGAGGGGAGTGACGAGCTGCGGAGAGAGTTTGCACGGCTCTCACTTGGCTGGTCTTGTCGTGAGTGTGGGGTTGGGAATTTAGAGGCTATGAGGGAGTTGTGGGGGGTTTGTCGGGAGCGCGGGGTTGAGGTTGAGGGTGAGGTTGCTGCTTTGGATGGGTGTGTTGGTGCTGGTGTCGAGGGCCAACGGGAGACGGTTGAGGCTGGTGCTGAGACTGATGCTCCGGCTGCGGCTTCAAGTCGAAATGCTGTTCCTGTTGGTAATGAGGACCAGGCTCGAGGGGAGGATGCTGTAGAGCGTACTCAGGCTGCGGAATCTGTTCCGACTCCTTCTGCGCCTGCACCGGTGCCCGCGGGACAAGTACAGGCACAGGCACAGGCACAGGCATCGCTATCTCCTATACCAGCACCGGCTGCTGCTGTTATACCTCCGCGGACAAGCTCCTCCCAAAAGGATTCGACAGAATCTCCGTCTGAAGGTGTCTGGCTGGACCGGGCTATTATTGGGGTGCTCATTGCTCTTGTCTTGTTGATATTGCGCCGAGTGGCGAACGTCGACGATCTGTAGAGGACTTTGGTGTTAACGTTTGGTGTTAACGTTGAGCATTTTCTTTCTTGTGGCGGCTATGCGGGCGTTTGAGATCATAATACAGGAGTTAGTCCATGAAATACCTCTAGATAGTTTTGCAATCAAGTACACATCATCATTGAACTGAATCATCCCGTTGTTCATTTTTGATTTTTCTTGACTTTTCTTGAGAAGTCTGGTTGGGGACTATATTCATACATAATTATGCATTGGAGTTTCCTCAGAAATCAGTATTTCGGTCAAGGACAGGCAATCAAGATAGAATCATCCACCAAGACTCCTGCAATCTCCAGCAAGCCATCTCTCCCTCGCCATATGACTTGACAATACCAACTTCCTCCAGCCAGTGCAGCATCAACACAGTTTCCCATGTACCCATGGTGGGCTTGATCATGTTAGAAATGCTACCGGCCTTGAGACCGGGTCGCATCACCAGGCAGCCGAGGACAGGGCCAACCACCAGATCCCAGAGACTGCGTACAAACTCTCCGTTGATGTCGTACCAAAGGGGGTTTCTAGGTGGCATTTTCGTGTCTGATGATGAAGGCGCTGGTGGAAGGATCGTGGCTGCAGCTTTGCCATGGACGGGGTTACCGTAGCTGTAGGCTGCGGTGGGAGTTATCTCGATGGGGAAACGGAAGCGTTTCTTGTCCATCTGCCGAGTTTCATATCCGCCATCAGTGAGACCGAACTTGGCGCGGGGGGCATCGCGAGGCCGCATTTGAATAGCACCTGAAGCGTAGAGATTGATCAGTGCGAGGATATCGCCATCTTCCGCGGTGTAGTCGACGTCGGACGAACCAGTAGTCCGGAATTGGAGATCTAGCATATTTGTCTTGAAACGAGCGGCACGACGCAGCTGGATGCTTTCGACGGCACGTTTGCGACTCAGTGTCTGCAGGAAATACTCTGAGATATCGTAATTGCGACCAGGAGTGACGCGGCCACGGGTTGTTGAGCTGATGACACGTTCGTTGATTAGCGTCTGCGTTGCAGTGGTGATAAGTCGATCGCCAAAGCGCTGCAGGATATCACTCGACTCATTGGGTCGATAGGTCTCTTCCGCGGTAACGATATTGGCCCGAACCCATGTCTTCGCGGCCTCAAGTTGTGCCGCAGCAGCCTTCCGTGAAGCTGGCTGGGTGCGTGTTTCATCATCTACGGGTACAGCGAATGGATTGCGCGCCATCAAGTTGCGTTTGTGGTTGATAGTGACACCGTGCACAGCCTGGTATAGTTCGTCGCCTGCCGTAAGCGCATCTTCACGTAGTTCGAAAACACTGTTGAATTGCTCCCGAGTTGCTGGAAGGTCCGGAGCCTGTTCAGATGGGGAAACATTGAGCCTAGTGCTTGCCCACTCAACCAGAGCAGGCCAGTCATAGCCGTCCAAATCGGAATAGTCAATACGCGGGACTTCGTCCTTTTCATAAGCCTCAAGGAAGCACTCTTGGAAATCACGATGCATCTTCGTAATCTGCAAGCGATTCTTGTTGAGTATTTGACGTGCTCGCGCTTCGATAAAAGATGAGTCTTGATCTGGGAAAGCTTTCGTCAGAAGAGCCCAATCGATCACTCTTGATTCTGCCCCGCCTGCAAGCACACGAACGACGACAAGAGCAACCACCAGCTTTTGTTTAAGATCTTCAGAAATGGGGCGCACGAATCGCTGTCGGCGAATGCGTTTAGGGGCCGTGGACTGCGTTTCTTTGTCGGCTGTTGCAGTATCATCAAGTTTTGCCAGACGACGGTCCGTAACAGGAGCACGCGGGACTCGAGGAGCCCGTGTCCTTCTTGGTTTTGGTGTCCGTTTTGATGTTTCATCATTCGGAGTAGGTGTCGGAGGAGGCTGAGGTAGAGACGGACGCTGGCGACGGACATCGCTACGCCGTGCTGGCAATTCCTGTTCCACTTGAAGCTGTTTCAGGGGGGAAGGGGGCATATCCATATCAAAACGAATATCGCCAGTGATTGGCGCTGGCTTAAAACCATCCTGAATGGTCTGCCTGATAAACTGCTGGCCTCCAATTTTTGATTCAAAGACAATAGGATTGTGAAGCTCCCATTTGAGGATCCTTTTGGTCTTTTGATTGAATCTCGAAAGTAATACCTTGTTTTTGACAGCTTTGGGCATTTCCGGCAAGTCTGGTTCGTCATGGGCCAGTCTAGACAACTCATCGACAGATTCATCAATGTTCGAAACCGGCGGTCTTGCTCCCATTGGTCTCCCCCTTCTGCGTTTGGAGCACGACCCTGTGGAGAAAGTGCCAGTAGCGGAATCAAATTGTTGCGTCGGGCTCATTAACATGGCATACGCTCCAATGGCGGAAATTGGTTTAATCATTTGCTTGGGATGTATGATAGACTTTGGGTGCTTGCCAGGACCACGTGTACCTGTTCGAACATATGGACGAATAATCGACGTGTGCGGATGAGCATCAAGGTCCAATTCAGGGGGGCGTGCAAGTGTCATGAGTCGCTGAACTCCTGGCAAATCAGGCAGTTCATCCTCTTCTTCAGCAGCCTTAGCTGCCTTGGCCTGGGCTTCCAGGCGTTTGATGAAATTCGCCTGGGCCTGTCTCCTTCTTCTTGCCTCTAGGTTCACAATGGAAATGGGCTTTTGTTGCAAGTGAACATGAGCTCCTTCTTCAACGGGGAAGGAGAATCTCTGCGCGCGGGGAGGTGCACCGTGTGGTCGACCACTATTTCTTGTCAAATTAGGATCCACCTCGACATTGGCCGCAAAAAAGGGCCGCGACTCGTGGAAATCAGCAGCCAGAACCTTGCTCTGCATCTCTTTCACCAATGGATCGTCTGGTGAAACCTCAGGCTTCAGCAATAATGTCCTTGTCACCATCACCTGTCTCGTGTCTCGGCCGCTGAAAGTCAGCTGCCGAAGCTGGCCGGCATCAATCAATTGCTTGCATGCAGTATTGATAGTTCGCATGTCTGGTTTTTCATTGGGATGAAACTTCATCCATGCAGTGACAAAAGGATACCACATTGCAGTGCCCGCGGGGTATACACCATCTGCCTTTTCCATGATTTCCATGATGAGCTTTCTCCGAAGGACACTGATAGATCCGCCTCTCCCGATCGAAGGTTTAGGGGATCCCGATTCTCCGTCTTCTGGAACGCGCAAGGATCTGATGTTTATTCTGTTCCGAACACGTTGCTTTTTTGCATGCTTGGTGCCATGGGCGCTGAAATTGAATTTCTGGGGGCCCACGGAGCCAGATCGTGGTGTCAGAACATCGGATGGACGGGGTGTCGGGGATTGTAGAGTCGTGGGGTCGTTGCTGGTGCAATCAGAGGATGTTACGCGGAGTCGCTTTAATGGAGTTCCAGCTTTATCGTCTTCGAGTAGATGAACGCTAGCACTCTTGTCACGATGGCGTGGTGTCATCGCTTTGATTGAGCGCTCTTGGGGTACTGGAATTACGTCCTCGGGCGGTATCTCATCGGCATCTTTCAAGAGTCCCTCTATGCTTCCATCCTGGGCCTTTTGAAGACGAGATCGTTTGGGAGGCCTCCCTCTTTTCATTTCGTTGGCTTTGAAGCTCGGTGATGGTGTAGGTAAGTCCTCTGGCTGGTCAGGTAGAATTCTCTTGACCCCTCTCAAAGTTGTCGGGGTGGGGGTCATGGCAGGCCCTTCGGAGTTGATAACTGGATGTGCAGATTCGGGGGCAACGCTCTCAGATGCTCGAGTGCTTGCAGTAGCATCCCAGACCTTGTCATCATCACTTGAGTCATCTTTATCCTTGACAAACCAAGGCATTGACACCAAATTGGGTGATTTGAAGATCGCAATTCGACTCTGTCTCGGGCGACCCCGGGCTTTGCCAGCTGGTCTTCTTCGGCCGTGGGGAGTCACGTACACACCAGGAGCAGGCTTGTCCATGACAAGAGCCTTATATTCAGTCCAACTCTCATCCATACCAAGTGCTTCAAATTTCTCTTGTTTTGATAATCCCTTCAGGTTGTCATGCTTAATCTTGGCTCTCTTGGCTCGCGGGAATTCCTCAACGTATTCCCAGACATGACCTTGGCTAGGCTCCTGCTTGGTTTCGATTTGAGATTCCATGGCTTGAGATTGTCTGGGTTCAGATACGCTAGCTTCAGATTCTGTGACTGCGGCTTCTTTGGCTTTGGTTTCTCTGGTTTTGGATTCTCTGGCACGCTTTTCCAGAGTCGCGCGGTTCAATCTGCCTTTCGGTCTTCCTTTCGGTCGGAAACGGGGCTCATACTGCTGCTTAGAGCCAGGCGGGAGTTTGTCGGCACGTGTACGGATCACTGCGGCTTAGTGTTAGACTCACGATTATTTTCTTATGCAAGTAAAGGAAATCAGGGGGCTATCATACCATGTTGGCCATTTGGAAGTTCAACAACGAACGGATCACTCGAAGAAAGAAGATAGTTGGGTGGTTTGACAGCCATGATCCCATCGAGGAGAGTGGAATTTGGGTCTTTCAACATGTTCTTTGGGAATGCTTTCATGAGGAATCCATACTCATCAAGCTCAGGAAGAACACCAAAAGAAGGTGCCACGATTTTTAGGGATTTAGCTTTCTTGGCTGGAATCTCAACGGCCTCCCATGATGCCTGGCCAGCTTCAACAAGCTTGGCAAAGTTGTTTGCCGAATAGTGGACATAGAACATGATGGTCTTTTTCATTGCCATATCACGAACGATGGCGTAATGGCGGAGATGAAGTGGCTGGGCCACTTGCCATAAATCAACCAAGCGATGTACCATGCTTTCAGCAGATCTCTTGTAAAAGGACCCAAAGCAAGTCCAGTTGAGGGTCTGGATTGTTTCTGTTAGCTGAGAAAAGCTTCACTTTGTGAGTGAGGCGCTTACCTGGTTCGTGATGCCTGTTGTGCCTGTTCTTTCAATGACGTCAAAGATTTGGTTATTGAGGTTACGATCTGGAGTCCATGAAGGTACGATGCGTGCGGAATCTCCAATTTGCTCTTTGATCATGTCCATTCTTCCGTCCTCCGGACTAGGCGATCTTTTGCTTGGGTCGTCCAGTTCCATATATTGGTTTTGGCCCGGGGTAAGTTTGTTTCCTTTGGCTCGCACCCCATGCTTGTTTAAGATATCAAAGTTAAATTCATGAAAAAGAGCCAGATCTTGCTCCGTGGGATCCCGTAAAAGCTTCACACAAGGATGCATTCTTTCGTATTGTGATTCGGCTCTCACACGTTGGACCACACCTATCCGCTCCCACTTGCGGAGGGCACGGGACAAGACTTTCCAACGCCAATGGTCATCAAAGCCCAAGAGCCTTTTCAAATCGTTGCGTGCAATCAATTGGTGTTCTCGGAGAATGTCGAACAAACTGGTGTTGAAGCTGTCGAAATCAATCATATTCTTCAATTGCGGTTCTTCCTTTGCTTGATCACCGGTGGCGTGCCGGTAGAATCGCTGCAGTGTGCAGAGACTGGTTCGGGCCGTTTTTGTTTGCACAGGTCGCTTGTCGATGTAGCCCTTTCTCTGCAAAGCATCGGTACGCTTCGGAACAGACCGTTTGTCCTGGCCACTAAGCTTCACCAGGTCCGGCTGCACAATACCCTTTGACTTGCGTGAAGCAATCACTGAAAGCAAAGCAAATTCAAGAGGCAGTACCTTGGACTCATCTGGTGGATGGCCAGTGATAGCAAGCCAGGCTCTCTCTTCTGAGACATAGATTCGAAGCGGCGGTAAATCAAGGTTCTGATCCCCGATTTGGTTGACTTCAGGATCATCGCTCTTCTTTTTTCGCGAGTCAAGCTTCTCGGCTTCATTCAAGGTGAGATGATTCCATTCATTGTGCTGGCCAATGGACACCTCGGGGTTAGTCGTGATCCAGGACCAGACTTTGGCTTTGAATCGGTGGTCAACATTTTGCTTGATTTCGGTCACATCCTGAGTTTGAGTATGGAAGTCATCAATGGCTTGCAGTAGATCGGATAACGTTGCGCCTTGATGTCTGTTAGCATTCCGTTTGTCAAAGTATTTGAAAGAATCAAAGCGTCCAATCAGGATTTGAGATGGACGATGTAGATCGACATTGGGTTCGCGCCACAAGAACGTAGACTCAACGCTGTCCCGAGCAAGTTTTGATAGGGGAAATGTAGTGGTACTTCGATATATCCCTTAGACTGTGGGGGGAACTTCGCACATCATTTTGGTGACGTTGGAACGTCCACTGCAATATGGCATGCGTCTCTGGGGTGAGGAAAAGTGGGTCCTAGTGAAGAGACTATACACACCTTGATTGCCGCAGAGCGCGACTTCGTTCAGCACAAAGTCGATAAGATGTTGTACACCAGGCATGGCTACATAGCTTTTTTTCTGGATAGAAAGAGGGGAGTTAAAAGATTAAAAGAAAGGTGATGGGTGTGGCAGAATTAAAGCAGGATAGAAATTTTCTGAGAGAGGGGACTCGAACGCCGAGCTTCCAATTTTTGCAAGGCGGTTGTCGCGTCACATGACCTTATCTTGCTCAATCGCCATTGATGCCTTGTTTGTAAGGCATTTTAAGTGATTCAGGTAACTAACTAGTTTACTAACTAACTATCTACCTCATTCATAGAGAAAGGTGAGACAAATCTTTTGAATGCTCAAGATTGTATGTATCAAGTGACCCTTCCCTTTTTGTACCAAAATTACAGACCCTCTCTGTAATCAATGTAATTTATGAAAGGGGTGAGTGTACTCCGTACAGATGACGTACCTACACAGGTACATTTATGAACAAGCATAAACTCCCGAGGTCCAATCGATTTTCTCGATGCCTTGTTTCCATACAAATTTTTGGGTCTGCTTACTTGGTTCTGATTTATCCACCGTATAAATGTCCGACATGTTCACCACATACATAGTCCCAGTCTCTTTTTTGTATGAAATGCTATATGCCACATGTAGATGGACTATTTTAACCACTCCTGGTTTGTACAAGAGACAAATGACAACAAAATTATCAATCCACGAGAATATAGGGAATACAGGAATCCCAAGTATAAGTAAGACATAAATCTGCCCAAGGTGGTTTGATCCAAGCCAAGGCTTTGTGTTTTGAATGACATCAAAAGGCCTTCCGGCAGGTACATCCCTTCCCAGCCAAATTTGTATGGCAACGGAAGTACCTGGCTCCGTTGTTTCCGGGCAAAAATTCCGTTCAAACTCCGTACACATTCGCCTCTTTACTTCATGTTCTTGGATTCCTTCTCTCTGGAAATCCATTCGGATTTATCAACCCATTAGCGCCATGTCCTAGTAACCTATCATTTCTTTATCAAACCCTATTCTCGCGTCTCTCTCCCCGAACCCTATCACCTACGGTGAGCCAATATCGCCACACCGATGGAAGAAGGAACCGTCCCAACACCCTCCGAGCCTCCTCCGCTCCCTTACTCGTTGCGCACAAGGAAGAAGTCGATCGCCTTCTTCTGGACTATATTTGTGATTGATACCTTGGCTCAACCGCTGATTCTGTATTGGTGTCTTTGGTATCTCACCGATCTTTCACCCAACTTGGGTACGTCTTGCGTGATGGAACAAACACCCTCGTTCAGTTGCTAATCCATGCAGTCTTCTCAATTGTCACCGCGTCACTTGGAGGAGTCTCGGTCTTCGAATACTTTTATCGCCTCTATAATCTATTCCGCAAAAACTCGCGCGCCCGACCCCTCAACTCTCGCGTATCATGGGTAGGTGATTTGGACCTAGGATTAAGCAATGGACGATGAACTGAGATCTGTCGGTAGCTGGATTTCTTTCAAATCAACTTCACAATTGTGTGGTTGATTCTGGCCATCGAATTAGTTGTGTGAGTCTCGCACTAAATCGTGGAAGCGGGGTGAACAATGAACTAACAAGTTCGCAGTGGGTCGGTACCTGAAGAACCATACGGTTAGACCAGCCCATTCTAACATCGTACGCAATCGCCTCAAACTGACCGCTCGAACAGTGCGCCTCATCGCCATGGTCCTACCCACCGTCATGTTCTATTTCGGCATCGTCTACCTTTCCCTCGACATCTTTCGTATGATGGGCTTTAAGGCTCCATTCCGAATTTCTTCCACGCCCAAAGGCTCCGTTATGCCGACTGCATTGTACGCGCTTATTGAGGACGTGGTAGCGGTCGATGGTGGTGGTGGACAGATTTATCGATATGCTCTCCGAACTCGATACCTATCGAGTCCTTATTTCCGCCGTATGCTCTTCGAAATGAACTGCTTCTGGAGTGGAGGATCTATTATTTGCGCCGCCGCCATCACGGCAATTGTCTTCACAGTTCAGGAAAATGTTGCATTCACGGTAAGCGGGAATCACCTCATGCTCAAATTACAGTCCGACTAATCTTGTCTGCAGTTGGGCTGGGCCCTTCCGTTTGCCTGGGCTATTATTTGGACCTTGATCACAATCCCCTGGGTCCAGAGTGATCTACGTCGCGAGAAGAAGGCGTGGGCAGAAAACCGGGGACAAGGCGGCATCCGCTGGGTTGACGACATCAGCGCGCCCACTGCCCGTACCCGTTTTGCCTCCGTTCAGGCTAATATTTGGCCCTGGACTCGTGGTAATCAGTCCCCCCCCTCAACATCATCCGGCCCCCCTGAAAAAGTACCCGATCATGCCCCAAACGGAGTCTCCGATGGAGCTCATGATGTCTCTAATGATGCCTCCGGTAGTACCCCTCGGGAGGGTTCTCACGTTGACGATGGAACATATGATGGAGCAACTATTGGCAGTCCAAATGCCCAACAATCTGCGGAGAAACTATCCGTGTAATACGTATGACTGATGAACTTGTTCCTATTTGCTCTTTTTTAGTTGCACATGAAAATGCGAGGGGCGGGGGGGGGGGGGGGAGGGCTTTTATAGACTTTGATCTTCTTTCTTTTCTTTTTTTTTTCTGCTGCACAAACTAGTATCAATGTATATAGATAGCCTATGTTGGTTTTCTAGGGAGCATTGAGATTGTCATTTTGTTTCATCTAGACTTCGAGCAATGACACGACACTGTTTATCCGGTAGATTGCTTAGTCCAATCCAACACTGGGTTAGCAGTGTCCTGCAAAGTAGAAAGATCCGGTCAAGACTCTCCAAATCGTGAACCCAACGCAAAAGAATAAACTAGGAGCCAATGCCCGCGCAAAATAACAAGAGATCTCTCGGAGACACTTCCAGCACATCGGCCATGTCTACAAATCCCGCTCCGATCAGTCTCTTCTGGATTCAAACTCAATCTCACGTCGAGTCTGTCTCGATGCCAGAAAGAACCCCACGAGAAATTAACAAAGATCTTGACATTCCTCCAGCTGCCTGTTTGAACGAAAGGCATGGTTTGGGGCAATGGAGTCAATTTGGGCCGTTATTGGGTTATGGGCTTGCAGCAGTCGCTTTACCTTCCTCGGTGTATCCTTAGCAAAAGGGACAGCAAGGCCACTGTACTTGCTCTTGAGCCTACGGGGACTGATAGCTCTGTTCGTGGTGTCACCTAGCGTAGCTGGGGTAATAAACATAGTCCGGATTCTCCGTGAGATGAGGATAGAGTGAATAGGAAAACTTCAAAAATCAATAAGCATTGCCCCACAGGAGAGCATGCTATTGCTGTTACACCCGTATTTTTTTTTCAATTCCCCCCCCCTCCTTTCTCTCCCATGGCACGTCTTTAATCCTAAGGTTGCTAATCAGTGGAGAACTTCAGAGATGAGATTTGGCCTACGACGTTGGGGGGGTTTGATTTCCTTTGCATCTGCGTGTTCATGGGTGGAAAGGTATTTAGCTGAGTATGTAACGATGGTGTGTACTGGGAGAATACTTAAATATCTGCCTTGGTCTATATCGTGGGCAAGTGGAAGCCATCGGTATGTACATGTATAAAGAAGATCAATAGCCACCTGTCCCAGCAGGAAACAAGATATCAGGGCCAAAGGAATGATGATGAAAAAAGATTATAAGAGAAACAAAAAGACCCATCTCGCTCTATGCCAGTGTCCTCAGACGGCCTGGGTGATCAAAACCACGAAATTTCTCCCTGCCATCGACACACCGAAAAAAAAGTTGAGAACGCGAAACGACTATGTACAGCCCGATGCAGGTAGAGGGTATCAAGGAGACACGAGGGGCCTGGTGGGAATAAGGTGATGGTGTACAAAGGATCGCAGTGATTTTCAAAAGGGCGTAGAGGTATTAAGCAAAAGAAGAACGGAATGAAAAAGAAAATGGGGATATAGTGCAGGGAAGATGAAGCAACGCAATCATTTTCGGAATGTCAACTTCCGCCCGAAGCTGCGAATTGATCTTGCTTGGCTGCACGAGTCAGTCGGTTTCTTTGCCGTGGTGAGAAGTGACTCGGGAATGGGTTCCATACCTGTCATCCTGATCGTTCTTGTCGGATCGAATCGTAGTCATGATGTTACCAGAGGTCCGCGGCCTTTCAGCTGGAGGGGCATTGACGAATCGACGTGATGCCTAAATATTCTGATTTAGCATTTGATATTTACAATGACACGGTGAGATGAGAGAACAACGAACCTCCCAGCGAGAATCCACATCCACCTCACTGGCGGACCGTGCATCATGAATGGTAGGATCTGAGCAATGTGTGCCGTGGTCTGAATTCAACGAGGTGGTCCTAGCCAATGGCGAGGCATTCGATTGTATAGATTTGCGTGAGGGTGATTCCGAGTAATCACTGTTAGAGTCGTAGCTGGCCAGGCTCTGGGCTTGGCTACTGCTCGGGTTGGTCATGTTGGATGTACTTGGCAGGATTTGAGACGAGCTTGCAAGCTCACGGAAACGCTTCTTCTGCTGTCTCGAGGGTCGGTGATGGGAGAACTTGTTGCCAAGTATAGCAGGCGCGTGCGAGATTAGGGCTTTAATCACGTCCTTCTTGAGTCGGAGGGCAAGATCCAGGTTCGACCATGTCTTGTTGCTGTACTCAAGAACTGGTAGGCGGAAAACGAAATCATGGATATCCTCCAAGTTGTGTTCTCCTTTGCCCTTGTAGCTCACGCAGAGAACCACATCATTCACCTTGACACGTGCAAGGGTCATGAAGTTGGAGGCGCGAGAGATCATTTGGGACAGGTCGTCGGTTGGCTCTTTGGATTTGCCGCCCTTGTTGGACGCTTTACTCATTCCGAACTTCTTGCGACTGTCTTCGCTGGCACTGTGGCTAGATAGGGATCTTTCGGTGGGCTGTTTGGTCAACATACGCAGACTATCAACGGACTTCATTTTGCTGAGACCACCAGTCGTAGCTGGGCGACCCGTTTTGAGCGCAGTCTCTGATACACCTAGTCTGTTGCTGTCCTGATGGATAGGTGTCATCACAAGACCCTTCAGATGGCCACCGCGATGACGCGACTTAGTCTCATCTGAAAGCGAGAGTGTAGGCTGGAGCCGCAGTTCGATGGAGCCCGGTCCCTTGGGGATGGCGACACTGTCCACGGACGAGCTATCGCCATCGATGCTCGTTGAGCGTGTCCTTGGCGAACCGTTTAAGCCTTCGTAATCGTCTTCCTCATCCGAGCCCTGAAGCGTCTGCACGTTCTTGATCATGGAAGGCGAGAAACCACCAGCCTCGAAGGCGCTGGAGCCCACGTTGGGGAAAATATATTCGAAGACTTTCTGGCCTAGTTCGCGTTCGAGCTGAACTTTAAGAGGGAACATTGAAACTTCGAAGTTATCAAGCACGGGGATACCGGCAACGGCCTCCAACATGTGCCATTTGACGCGCAACATGAAGTCATCCAGGGTGCGTGCACCGTCGAGGTAAGGTGCGATGATTTGGGGGTAAATAGCGTCTGGAAGTAAGTTCAACCCGAATAATCGCTCTACAGATACCAGATTGTGGTTTGAGCCATCGGTATTATCTGTCCGTTCGTATGAAGCGTTGCGCAGCTGGAACTCAATTAGGGGCTCAGAAGTCTCCTTCATCAGGTGCCAGACGACCTCACTCGCCGATATGCTCCAACGTAGTAAGCCATGGACACCAGATGCCCTGGATGAACTTGGTTCCATTCGCCGTTGGGAAGTTGTGATTGCCTTCATCATGAAGAAAAGCTCATCCTCACATTGAGACAAGTCGCGTTCAAGAGCCAGCCGATCCTCCCAGCCCTGTTTATCCAGGAACTTAGCATTGATCTGGAAGTACTCTTTGATTTCCTCCAACTGGCGAATGCGTGCTTGGAGCTTGAACACCATTTCCGGAGCGCCGCGAAGGTCACTGAAGTCGGAAGTGAGCATGATCCTCTCCAGGCGCTCATTTCGGACTTTCTCGAGTGGTTCGCTGTAGAGCATGAGATCCAGGACAATGATGTACATGGAATAATACTCTGCAGAATCACAAATCGCGCGGAAATGAGGGAAGTCCACACTGATCGAGTCTATGCGGTCTTCTTGTTCATCAGGATGAGGCCCTTGCTGACCCTTTACAACCTCTTCGTTATACTTAAGGCGGAGGTTATTGAACTTGTCGTACCGCAAGGTGGCAGAAGTCTTTTGCACAATACGAGAGAATCCAAACGGATTCATCTCAAAATCGAACATAGCTTCTAAAGTCAACCACGGAGGCCACGCTGATCCGGGCGCATTTCCGTACTTATTTCCGGCATAGAATTGCAAGTTTGCCATCAGTTTCTTCTGTGTTGCAACGAAGAACTGGGCACCGTCCATTTCGAGGGAGAAACGGCGCTGTACCAATCCACTGACATCGTCCGAAACACGCGCTTTGTCCATGATTGACACAACCTTGAGCTCCATACCTTTAGCGGCAACAAGCAAGACTGACTTCTTGTTCTTTTCACTGAGAAGCTGGATTTGGGGCGCAATGAGGCGCAAGTGATAACTGTTCTGGGGGGTGAATTCTGGCACGATGTTCTCACTCGAATTGTCCGAATTCGAAGACGATTGGGGGTTCGATTCCGATTGAGGTTTGATTTCCGATGGCTCGTCCTCTTCGACATTCACGTAGCGCTTAGCATCATTCAGCAACTGTTCAATGCGTTGTCCAACCTCCTCCTCCTCTTCTTCCTCCTCATCCTCATCGTTGTTCGAGCTTCGAGTTTGCGTCTTGGGCATTTTAGGCTGCTTGCGCTCGTTCTTGTCCTGTTCCTCGACAATATCAAGGATGAATTTGACAGCTCGGCGAGACATGTAGTAAATAAATCCACGTCGCTGGCTCACTTGGTGGCTGTACCGCAAGATGATGTTGCGAAGCGAATTGTTCCATTTGAGCTGCACATTGTGGATCATGAAACGGTTGTCGAAATCACTGGAGAACTCATCGTTGCCCGACGAGTAAAGTCCATCCAGGCCTAAAGAACGGCCATCAATTGTGGATTCAGCATACTGACCAGTTCGTCCTGTTCGGAAAGAAGCAGTGCTGGGTGCAACGTGTTTGCCAAGTGTGTCGCCATATGGCGTCCGCTCGTCGCGTGTGGTGTTTCTCTCAAGACGATTGAGGGTTGTGGTCAAGAATTTGCGTCGTCTCGCCAGAGACTCTGACTGGCGAAGGAATAACTCATGCTCAGCTTTCAGGTCTGCATTGTTGTCCACGTCTTTCATGAGCTTGAGTTCCATTTCCCCAATTGTGCGTTCATAGTTGCGGACTTGGGCCTCGACGATTGCAAGACGGTCTTTGACCAACTCAATCTGAACACGACGAGGATCATTGGTTTCGGACATGACGCACTCGTGAGTCGGTTCGTTTCCAAACGTACTATAGCCCGTCTCATCCGGCCCAACATCGCCATGATCTGTGTTGCGGATGTAGGTGAAGCGCGGGGTAAAGGCCAAAGGCAAAATCTGGGTACGAGGGTTCGACTCCTGTGGAAGGATCCAGTCCGGCTCCACGAAATCATCCATGTCAACCCAGTCCAGGTTGTGATCAGGGATAGTAAACCGAGACAAGTCAACTGACGGAACAGGCTGCTGGAAGGAAGAAATTATGTCGTCTTTGTTGCGCTCAACATCTTCCGGCGTGGTTCCCTCGATGCTAGCGGACACGGCGCGGAAGTCTGCAGATTGCATATCAATTTCGGCCTGGTTCATACGCATTGCACTTGTCGCAGTCTGTTTCGAACGGCCCCCGGCATGTATTTGGATCTGCTCGCGACGTTGATGAATATCAAGTTTCAAGCAGTCAAGACGAACCTTCAGACCCGTGGCCGTAACAAATCTCTCTGCGTAATCTTCGCGGTCCTTGTGTTTGTATATGTGGGCCACAAACAGGGGTGCGAGAAGAATCTGGTATTTGACAGTTGCCAAGTGACGATTGAACTTCTTGCTCGCTTTTGTGACTCCTGGCCAGAGCGGTCCTTGACGGACAGGAAGCGACATCACGCCCGAGAAAAGAGACCACCAATTGAAGAAGTGGGTGAAGAATCGCGGTGAGAGATGAATAGTGTTGTAGCTCGAAGATGGTTGAACATTGTCCGAAGCCCAATCTCTATTATGCGGTGCAATAATCGAGACAGAAAGATGGATGTGATCACTCCGGAAGCCACGATAAGCATCATAATGAGAACGTTGTAATGGTTCGACGAATTCGGGGTTCTTAAGAACGACCTCATAATGGGGTTTGGAGGAAAATGATCTTGCATCATTCTCAACATCCCGCTCGAAGACGAGACCTGCTGACCATTTGACATCGCCAGAGAGCTTCATGATAACCTTCTTGAAGTGGGCAGCGTTCTTCTGCTCGCTGGATGCAGAACTGTTGTCCAGTTCCTCTGTGGTCGCCTCGTTTGCCCAACGTGCTTCGGCGCTGTAGTCGGGAATAGCAAGCACGTACTCGCCACTGGTAACAGTGATAAATTCCATAGGATTGTCACTGGTGTGAACATCCAATTGGACATCTCTACGCCAGCACATGACAAAACCGCTTCCAAAGCCGGTCACCACATATGGATCACGAGAACCCTTAAGTCGCAGATGTACATCACCATCTTCCTTCCAGAGAACCTTGATCCGGGAGTGAAAGCTGAGTCGGATCTTGTCCCAGAAGCCCACCGGCTCCGAGGGATCAATTTCAGACTTGGTGAAACCCTCAATGATCTTCATCATATCTTGAATGACAGGCTGATAGGAGACACCCCATGAAATGCTAGTCGGTAGACTTGTGTTGATCTCGACGACAGGGTCTGAGTAGGTCTTAACTGGTGTAACAGAACGCCATACGTAAATTTCAAACGCATCGCGGGAAGACCCGTCGGAACCTTCAGATGCAGGAACGAGTTCCACTGGGACCTGTCTTGCGGATTCATGGTCACGCCATTCTTCTGCAATGACGAAGTTTGTCCGCAAAGACCAACTGGGAAGTCTTGGAGACTGCCCTGGGCGCAGGCCTGGCACGTGCAACAGATCTAGAGGGTAGTCCCGCAAGTTGACGCGTGCTTCACCCATTTCCAGGTTAAAGCTCATTGGGACAAGCAGACCGTATTGCATAGACATGGGCATTCCCTTTCCGATCCGGTTCAAGTAACTGGGGAACTCGTTGATAGCGAATGAGGGCTTGTCGATGACAAGATTGACATCACTAATCAAAGCCGACAGCAGGCCTGGTCTGTTCGGAATAGCAAGAATGGTTTCGGTCTCCTTCACATCCGGAGGAGGTTCATCTGCACCAGAGAAGAGATTTCGAACTTCTTTGATAGACGTGCCCTGAAACATGAGAGCTGCATCGATCTTCTCTTTCCAGACTTGAGCATTGTACTGTTGAAGTCGGCCCCAAGCAGTATCCACAGAGATTTTTTGCTCTGATGAGAGACAGGTCGCGCCCTCGGTATCATACCGGTATTTCCGACCTCTGCCACGCTCCTGGGAGCTAGATCTCGGCCGCTCATCAGCACTCCTGCTTCGCCTTGTTTCTTGGCTAGTTCGCTCACTACGCATCCTCCGATGGCTCGATTTGGCTTGCGATCGGGATGTGGCGGGCCGCTGGTCAGATTCCTTGATTTTGTGAGATTTCAGATGAAAGGCGTCTTCCCGGGCCAATCGCTGGGTCTGTTCAACCAGGCCAACTCGATAGATGCAGCCCAGTTTCCACTCAAAACCATCATCCTCCAACTCAAAGAGCAACGCTTTACTGCGAAGAGATATCCTGGGCACCTTCTTCGGGCCCTCTGGTTCTCTCTTAGAGCAAAATTCTTTGCAGCCCTCCACGAAGCGATGATGCAGCTGTTGGAAAGCCTTGGAAGTGTTGATAAGGTTATCAAAAATGCAGTGCATCACCATATGATGAGGTACACCAATTCGGATGAAGTCTGTCCAGATATCAATCGATTTTTCTTCAACCAAGGTGTTTCCATGTTTCATCTTCATTTTTCGGAAATCCAGCCTGACATTGTTCATACTGCCGATTCTTGCCCAAACACCCTTGAGCTTAGGTGCCTCTGCATGGAAGCGAACAAGACTGGCTTTAACATAAGGGGTGGAAAGACGTTGAGAAGCACCAGCAATTCCGTATATCTGAATCATTAGTTGAGGGTCGTTCGGCAAGTTCGCCTTGAGTTGCACAACCGTTGCCTTTATGTCGTAGGTGACCAGCTCCTTCCTTGAAGACCACTTGTATGCTGGAGGCGGCGGTAGCGATATGCTTGCAGGCGCTCTGACTGTGCTCTCAGTAGACTGCGAGTGCTTTTGCGGCAAAGGTGTGAGCACATCTTGGATCACAGAAACGGCAACACCAAGGCAGTAGAACCGGTACAGTGAGTATTGAAGGTATATGCCCTTGAACATGGAGGTGACATGAAAGACCGGTCCAAGGCGATCGCTGTGTGTGCTCAGCGCAATCTCGAATCGAGGCATAGAGAAGAATGGCTCGGGTTCCAGATAATCTTCTGATTCAATGACAAAGCCATCGAAACCACGCGCGTGGAAAGCCAGTCGCCGACCATCTGAAGCGCCGCGTTGAATGTGAACAGCCTTAGGAGGCGAGGTTGGGGGAAATCGAAAGGGCGATTCATCGCCAATGGTGGAATGGCTGGGAGTGCGTCGTCTAGCGATGCTTCCGACATTCCTCTCCGTTTTCTGAGCTTTGTATTCCGCCGTCCACGATTGTAGTTGCAGAGAGACACCACGAGATATGTCAGAGACGATACTGTCCACACCAGCGACTTCCACGCTAAACCCTGTGGCTTCAAACTGAAATTGGAGAAGCCATGGGGGCACTCGTCTCAGCACGCTCACCTTTTGATCTTTTGCAGGTATCGTCATCCGCTTCTGTGATTTCATCTGCGTGATAAATTGCTGCACGACTTCGCGGATTCCACGGTTTACATCCGCGTCAATCATGTGAACTGAACACTCGTTAAGGCTTCCTGATGCGACTACACATAGCTCTGGGGTGGCATTCAGATGGACCTTCAGCTCCAGATTCTCGTTTGTGAGCAAATTGTGCTTATTGCCTGCTGGAGTCTGGTAATAGAATTTGTGGGAGGCGACCCGGTAAATTGACGATAAGGAATAGTGGGCACCGCCTTCGGATGAATGAGAGGATTCTATATCGAGCGCAATGGAGGAGACCGAGGCAATAAGGAGGTTGTAATCATCGGGAGGGTCAGACTCTTCCTCGATTGGGAGAATAAACCGGACCACAGGTTCATGAATAGATAGCTTGATGCTTGCCTTCGGGAGTAATCGAGAAATCAATCGATGGTTATCTTGCTTCTTTGCCCGAGGAGAAGAGGCTCGGCTTTGTACCAATTTCAGCAGCCTCGAGACATGTTGCGGTTGGAGATCAACAGAGGGTGATGTGACGAGCAAATTTGCGAACAGGACATTTGTATTTCGCTCTTCGGCGTTCTCGTCGTCAAAAGCGCTCACCGTCTTCGAGGGCAGTGTGGTTTTGATAGTGGTCGTAGCCATAGGGACATATATAACGTTATCAGTCTCGCCCGATTCGTCATCCAAGCTGACTGAAAGAGAGATAGCAGCAAGAAGAGCCTGGTGGGCAACGTCAGTCCGCTGGAAATACATGCGGTGCTCTGGGCTCTTTGGGTCCATCCGATAAAGATCAATTCCAAGCTCATGCGAGACCACATTCAAATATTCTGGTTTTTGCCCGGCAGACAGAGACTGGATACCCTTTGAGACACGGAAGAAGCTCAGAGCAACCTGGATCTCCTGTATACCACGAAGCAATGAGCTTGCAAACTCTTTTGAGTCCGCCACAGCCTGCACAATGGAATCGTCTCTGCTTCCAGGCTTTTCGAGTTCGTCCACAAAATCGGCAAATGACATCTCATCATCGGTCTCAGTAGTCGCTGGCCCTTGTGCGGATTTCTTTACCGGCTTGATGCGCTGTAATATCGTATAGACATCATCGTATGGAATGTGCATTCGTCCAATTTTCAGGGCCACCGAGGCGTCTCTGAGTCCGTCCAAATCTTTGTGCAGAAGTCCATGAAGGTTCATGCCCACATTATCCAATATCTCGATTGGCTCCCGGCCGTCGACATTGAGTAAAACATTCTGGGCATTCATCATCCACTCGGCTGGGCGTTGGTCGCGCGACGTGTCCTTCTTGCGACGAAATAGGTTGCCCCGTTCCACCATCTTACTCCGCGTGTCGACCGAAAGGGAAAGTGATCCAACCTGGATCTGGCCGGCGTTGACAAAGTGGACGGTTGTGCCAATAGCAGTCAGATCAACGAGAGCTAACCAATTAATCTGCCGGTGTAGCAGCTTGACACGTTCCTTGATTCGTGTTAATGTCCTCCATGTTTTGCTTCTTCCGCCAACTTCGGGCGCAGCACGGTCTTCGGATGGTTTAGGAGGACCAAGGTTCTCCGATATACCGCGGTGGGCTTCGCGCTTTCCTTGCCCCAGAGTTGTCGGGTCCACGGTGACCTTCAGTTCTGTCAACCGAATGCTGACCCATGTTGGCTGGGCAAATGACGGGGGGTGTAACAACAATCCGAGGCCGCGGATTTCAATGTGTATTCCTTCCTTCGGGGTATATGCGATTCGGCGCAGCGAAAAGTAACCAATCCGTTGAATGGAGATTCCTGTGGCGATGCGGACGATAGCGAAGATGAAGAAGGACGAGAGGTAGAGGAGGAGGAATCCCACGAGAATCGAGGTCGGGTTGAAGAGGGTCATCGCGGTTTGAGATCAACGGGGGACTGATCTCAGACAGGCAGTTTCGACTCGCACATTGAGGGTATGGCGGGTTTCAATAGTACTGTTAATTGGATCCCCTAGTCTCTACTATCCCGTCTGATTGGAATCAGTACTTCCAGACTCCAGAACAGCAGCAACTTTATCCATCAAAGTCTCAGTAGGATGGGCACTTCAGGCTGACTTAACAAAATGAATGTAGGCGAATCATGCCGGGGGAGGATTAAAGGGTAAGGGAGAATGAGAAAGGTGGGCTACTTGGCAGGTCGGGGGGAACTGGCCAAAAAAGCGGAACGCTAGCTATTTCTCCTAAAATCGGCTCCTTATTAATCGCAGACCTTTTGTTATTATTCATAATTAATTACAGTGTCGAACATTCTATCTGCCCATCTAATATTTTTACGGTGTTTCTATGTAGTTGTTCATATGTTCTGGTTGATCGACACGCGAGCCAAGACATTCCCAAGGTTCAGGGGAGATCATTCTATCAGCCCCGGTGGCCCTGCTTGGCTTTATAGTGTATCATCATTATTCTCGACTCTCTCTCTCTCTCTTTGTCTCCTTTCCCCCTCATTTTGTACAATAATTTACATTTCCCTTGATTCCATGTGTCCCGCTTTCCAGAATTAGTTTAAGCTTGAAGCAGGGACTGGTCGAGACTTCTCAAGTTCCTCAATCTTGTCGTCAAGAAGGGCAATTTCAGCATCGATACTCAGCAGCTTTTCACTCAACATATCCCTGTATTCTTGATCGGAGAGTGAACGGAGTGGGATCCATTTAGATTCAGCCATTCGCTGCATCAGAGGTTTCGATGTCTTATGGGCATTTTCCAGTTGCCACGCGTCCACTCGGTTGAAGACGCTCTGGCCACAGTAGCCGAGTATTGAGAAAATGATAGCCCCCGGAACCAGCCGGCCTCCTGTATAATTTGGTCAGACATGATGCCACAATCTTACCATCCGTGCTTTGGGTGCGGGATACAATACCCATCAACTTCGTCACACTTCCGCCGGCAATGCCACCGCATAGAGCACTCGTGTAGATGCGCTCCTTCAGGGAGGCTTTATCTTGGTAATGATGTTTAATGATGTTACTCCGTAGCCCTGTCTCCAGTTTAAGGTTAGACATCAGCAAAATAAACATAGGGTGTCTCCACATACACCAAAAGGCTGAGCCGCATGCAAACCAGTGGATGCCACATGACAATGAATGAATCATGGGATTGGGAGATCGGATAACTCCGGCGGCTCCTCCATAGATCAGGCCAGCAGTTCCTGGTTGAAAAATCAGCACTTCACATTCAGGGACTCCTTATATCTATCTTCAAACAATCTTGTGAAGGACAGATACTAACCGCTGAGGGCTCCGACTTTGGCTGCAGACAGGAGGGCGCTGGACTGGAAGTCTTGCACATATTTTGGTTGGTCGCCCATCTTTTGTTCAGGTAGAGAGATTCATGAGTTCGAAGGTCATAGAAGGGTAAGGTACAATAATCGAAGCACTCGTCACAGCAGCAAACCAAGTCAGAAAGACTCTAGTCACGTGCCCTGTCCATGGTTCCTGGGTTATGTAATGGCATCACTCAGCTTAGATAGACGAATTAGGGCAAAAGCAAGCTGGTTCAGATTGTGGAATAGAAAATAGAATCCAAGTAGCTTGTTTTTTTTAAGTTCTCGCAATTCAGCAACTGAATTTGATTAACGATGTTGGAGAGAAGTGGTGGATGAAGAGAGTCAAGATCCAAAGATGTACCCCCGCATTGCACATGTCCAGCAAATGATCATCTTCAAGACCGGCAGCCCCACGATCTTTATTTCTCCTTGGGACTGTTCTTGCCTTTTCCTAGTGGCTCAAACGCCAACCCTCCACTTTGACACGGGGTATAATATCTAGGAACAGCCTATTACTACGCCAAAAGACTCAACCGGTGTCACGGCTCGGATCTCTGTTCAAGCCAGCTATGCAATGTCATTCCATCTTGTTGTACAAAAATTTAGAAGTCAGGCCAACGAAGCATATGATGGACATCTACGCCTGGTCGTACGATCTTCAATAATACAATATCTCTATCCATGTCTTCGCAGTCTAACCAGAGTAGCCTCTGATCAACGCTTTAATCCAAGTAATCAGTGATAAAACCACAGTGCCACTAACACTCGTTCTCCTTGATTTATTGTGACTTGACAAGAATGGCATTCTGTTTACAATCCAATAATTATGGCAACCATGGCTACATACGTTGTCAAAAGGGCTAGATAATAATCCCTACGGTTGATGTAGAGGTTCTCATGCAGTTCTCGTATCTTGACATGTGTAAAAAGACCCCCTTCCCAAAAATATTAACACCAACACCTAACATGCATATAGTAATGTGTATGCAAGTTCATCCGAGAGGCTCCAGGATAATTATATCATGTCGAACTAAGAGCTGAACGATCTTTGAAGGTTGGACTTGTTGATGCCACTGATTCTGACAGGTTATTGAGGCTACTGCAACCCGATTCCCTGTGGGATGACAGAATGCTAGCCAATCAAGCTGCAATAGGGATGTAGGGGTGTACTTTGGACTGGTTTGGGGGTAGATGTTTGATATATATTTTTTGCCGAGTCTGAAGAAGTCCACTATTGTCCATAGATGATGTACAAACTTGGAACGTCTCACATTTTTTCTCCTTAGAAGCAAACAACAGCATGAGTAACCTATTAAATCCACATACTTTGCCAAGCCCGAGTGAAATACAAAGGGATTCGAAGATAAATCGTATTCAGGTATAGACCGATCTCGCGGCTCTGATTGGGCTAGCGTCATCACTAAAATTTTAGTAACCCGTCCACATCCATGCCGCAGCCGACTTCCCCTCTACCAACTTTTCCACTGTGGGTTTGCAGATATTGAACCTAACACACTTAACTCGAAATTTGATTCTTGGTCTTCTCACCAGGTCTCTCTAATTCTTTGAATTTTCCTTCTTTCCAATCCTACCATCCGAGAAGCGCGCACAAATCCCGGCGCGTTTCCCCCAACCTCAAACCGCAATCATGGGTTCGTTCCAGACCTTACATTTTCCCCAGGGCATCGCCCTCCCGCGAAAACTTGCATGGGCTGATTTGCTGACATGTTTCAATGTTAGCTCCCAAAGTAAAAGCCCAGAAGATGTCTGTGAGCACCTTCTTGGCGGATGAAAGTAAGTTACCGGAAAAATAAAAATTTGGATGAGATGAGGTGATTACTGACGACTTTAGGCCTTGGCTCTTGGGCCGATGAGATGGAGGATATGCCTCTTCCTTGTAAGTCGCAGACCGCCCCCGCTAGGAAATTGCGAAACTGTGCTAACCAATTTTATAGCCAGTATGTGGTGTGCCCGACACTCAACATGCTTATCGTTAATTCGAACCCTTGCTAACAATATGGACAGCCCAGCCTTTGACATCCACCTTTAGCCGTCGCCCCGCAGGTGATTCGGCATTCGGCTCTGGCTCTGGCTCTGGCGGCTTTGGTATGATACCTCCCGCGCCAGATATACAGAACAGGTTCTGACAGATTGAATGATTAGAGCGCGAGCGTGGTGGATATGCCGTTCGGGAGCCTCTTGACCTCCCCACTCAGCCCCCGTACACTTGCCACGTTGGCAACCTCTCCTTCGAATCAACTGACGCCGATATCTCTGAGTTTTTCGCCGGATGTGGCGTGACGAACGTTCGTCTCGTGGAAGACAAGTTGACAAAAGCCCCTAAGGGTTTCGGATATGTCGAGTTCGAGACCGTCGAGGGTCTACAGAAGGCTCTGGATCTATCTGGCTCGTCTTTCCAGGGACGTTCTATCCGTACCAGTGTTGCGGAGCCTCGTAAGTATCGAAAGGTTGGTGGTTTTCTTGGAAAGATCTCGACTAATAGGTTACATTAGCCAAGGAGTCTCGCCTGGAAGGCAAGGATCTTGACTGGTCCCGACGTGGCCCCCTCCCCGAACTTCCTCAACGCCGTGTGCCTGAGCGCTCCAACTTCGGACGTGGCATAGATGCCGGCTCCGATGCGGGCAGTGACCGCGGTGGCCGCCGCAGCAACTTTGAGTCCGATGGAAAGCCCCGTGACTTCAACAACTGGGAGCGCAAGGGGCCTCTTTCACCCTCTGCCGGTGGCCCGCCCCGCGAGGGTGGCCGAGAGCACAGCAACGACGGACCTAGTTCAAGCTTCCGTAGAAACGAGGCCGCATGGGGTGAGGGTCGTACTCAGGATGAGGGCTCGCGCCCTCCCCGCCCCGAGCACGTTCGCCCGGAGCCTACACCTACTGCTGCCGATATGGACAACCAGTGGCGCGCCAGAATGCGCCCCGACGAAACTCCCAAGGAGCCCATCAGCCCCGTCTCCCCCCTCTGCCACCCCTGCCGTTCCTGCTAGCCGCCCCAAACTGAACTTGACGAAGCGCACTGTTTCAGAGAACCCCACTCCCACCTCAGCCAGCAGCGACTCCAAGGCCAGCCCCTTCGGTGCCGCTCGCCCTATTGACACCGCTACCCGCGAGCGTCAGGTCGAGGAGAGACGCCAGCTTGCCATCCGCCAAAAGCAGGAGGCTGCCGAGAAGGCCAAGGCCGAGAAGGCTGAAAAGTTCGCCGAGAAGCAAAAGCAGCTTAAGGAGTCAGCCCCTGCCGTGGACCACAACGGCAAGGATGTCCTTGAGACCCCCAAGGGTGGTGGCAACTTCGAGATCCTCCAACGGGCCGGTGAGGATGGCGAGTTGACTGCTGGCAAGGAGACCGAGGAGACGGCAGCTGCCGCTCCCGTCGAAGCCAAGAAGCCGTCTGCAAACGGCTGGAGAGCTCCGGCCCCCGAGGCTGGTGCTGGCGGTGACGACGAGGGTTGGAGCACGGTCAGTGTGAACAAGCGCAACAACCGCCGTGGACAGACTGGTCGTGGATTCGCATAAACGTATCGATACCCCGAAGCAACGGCCGTTTCTTTTTTTTGCCCTGAGCCTTGGAATTACCGGTACGCAGGTGGGTTAATTCTGGACGAGGTTCATTCCCGGTCTTGGTGCGCTGCTCGGTCGAGTTACCTTGAGTGGTGCACCAGGATAGGTTTGGCGCTCATAACCACCACCTGCTTCCGCCACTTCTCAGTGCCGGACGTAGATTGCTTTTTCTGATTGAGCTTTATTCTCCTTTCCACCCCTCTTTTGCCCTTTGGTTTCATGATCTCTTTCCCTTTTCCGTGGGCTAGATTTTTCGATCTACACCTAGTCCTCGCTTCGATGATCTGGCAGTCCGAAAAGTTTCATTCTTATGTCTTGTTCGCTATCTAGCTATTATTCCCATGCGTGACTCAAAGTGATCTGCCCATGACCATTACAGCCGATGCGAAATGAATACTACATGTTCCATTTTATTTCCCCCCCGTCTTTTTCCTCGATTTTCTTGTTCTCTCAAACTTCTCCTCTCTTCCGTTCGATTGACCACGGGTGGTCCCGTTTCTTTCTCGTTACTGTCTGCCGTTGGGACGTGGGGAGTTGGAGTCTTTGAAGCTCTCCTTTCTCCGTTCTCGGTCATGCGAACAAGATAACGCAACGAGAATAGTCATTACGAGTACCCCCTCTCATGAGCATAACGTTGACGAAATCAGTTTCTGTTCTTTGCTCTTCCTTCTGTGACTGTTTCTAATTCAATTCTTGGGGATCCTTGCATGGCAGAGTTGTCTCGATGGTCCTTGCTCCATTTCTCCGTACTAACCTTTGAGTTGAATTTCCGCTTAGCATAGAATGAAATGCCCGCCTTCACTGACAGTTTTGAGGTTTGTAGAATGTTCAGGGTATAATGTAGATTTTGTAGACCGTGGGAGGCTAAAGACATACTGCCAGAATACATGTATGTTTGTACCACACAGTAATGTACTTCCCTGACTGCACCGTCTTTTACATCCCTGACAAGGGTTCCAAAACACTAGTGCATCAGAACGTGGACGATCAGTTTCCCTTGAAGAAATAGGGGAGGTTGGATCTTTTCTCATGGTAAATACTCGCTGATACGAAGTAGCTGACTTGTATGCACAGATCTAATTTTAGCTGCAATAGCATCAAGATTCAAGACAGAAAAAAAAATAGTTCAGATTTGAGGTAGCTAGGTAGTAGACTATTGGATCAGGCAAGGGTATATAAATAGGATCCACTAGGCTCAAAGGGTCCGAACGAGGTCGATAAAACAACATCATCGAGGATAACTGTGAGATATGAGATGTCCGAAGTTTAGTATTTAGGTAACTGTACTCTTTTTCAAATGGTTGTTTTCATTCCTAGTTCAGGATCCATTTCACTCCATTTCACTCCATATCTACCATTCATACTATTTGATGAGATCATTCAGGAACCAAGGAGATACAATTGGCCAAGAAATAAAGTGGCCGGTATGGAATTAATTGAAACCCCTTCCAAGGGCCAGGGATTATGACTTTCAGCCTTTGAAATTTCTTTTTCCCTTTTTGAATTTATTTCCTTAGTACTGAAGTTCTTCAAATGCTCTTAAAATCCCGTCAGATCATCGTTGCAATCTTAGTACTCCGTACGCCTAATTCATTTTAAATTAAACCCTGACAATCCCGGGGTAAGCCCCATGCTGTCATGTCGACCACCACAACCTCCCTCACTACCACGCTTGTCGCACCGGCCATGAAGGGTGTCGTTATATCAGAAAAACAATGCCCCATGTGTTGGGGTGAAGGATTTCCCCAAGATGGCTCTGGCGCCCACGATAGAATCCATGAGTTGGAGGGACAGGTGCAAGTGTTGACAGTGCGTGCTTCCGCTACAGGTAAGCCTTTCCAGGACTTTCTCTCTCTGCAGACTACCATACATAAGTATAGCAATGAGATCGTGTATTTACAGAGAAGTCAAGAGTTTTCTTTCTTCTTCCCATCCAACCCTTGAAAAGAAGAAACTCTTCGCTCACCGCATCGCAAACAGCTGCCAAACTTGGCGAGTACGAAGACGAAATCCGACATCTACGCTCCTCCCAATCCCAAGGACCATACCACACCCCACAAGGCAGCTCTTCATTGGGGAGACCCCCTTCTCAAACCGACCATTCCTCACCACAGCGCCCAACATCCTCAAAATCTCAATCCCAATCACAAACATACCACAGCCGCTTCACAAACCTAGCCTCCCTCCTCCCCTACCGACGCAGCAGTGCAACACCCGCAACACCCCCCGGTACCGTTCTCCCAAGTACCCCGACGGCGCTCCCAACACCCCTCACACGCATGTCCCCCGCGAACATCGAGCACACTACCGAGCTGCAGGATGCGCTTACGCGCGAACAGAGATTGCGCAATGCAGCCGAGTCGCAGCTTTCGCAAGCAAGTACTGAACTAGAGGAATTGACGATGCAGCTTTTTAGCCAGGCGAATGAGATGGTTGCGGAGGAGCGGAAGGCTCGCGCGAAGCTGGAGGAGAGAGTTGCTGTGCTGGAACAGAGGGATATAGAGAAGCACAGTCGGTTGGAGAGGTTGGAGAAGGCTGTGGCGCGTGTAGAACGGTTGAGGGCTTTGGTTAATCATAAAGATGCTTCGACTGTTGGATCTGAGGCCTTTGGTTGACATGTGGGTTTCCTTACTATTACGACTGGTACGATTGGATTATTTGATGATGGAGATGATTGGGCGTCTCAATAGAATTTGGGGTCTGGATTCCCTGATGTTCGCATTTGGATCAGGGTATTGTGGAGTGTACAGTTCAGATTGGCCTTTGTATTTTGGTTGTTTTTGCCAACACAATGTGAGGGATTCTACAGAGCAATTGTATTTGATCTATCATGAAGTTTCTGTGATTCTTCGTAGAGAGTAAATATAAGACAAGTCCCAAACTACACTGACAAGAATGACCCTAACAAATGACGTGCGTCGAGGTTGGACTTCCCCGCAGTTCCGAGTGGCTTTGACAACGTACTCCGCTGTTGAACTTCCGTTAATAGAACCAGAAGCACTGGAAAAGGAACATTTGACAGTTTTGGATAAAAAATTTGTTTTTTCTTTTTTTCACTCCATACATCCAACGATGTCTATCGGCGTGGCTATCATCGGCAGTGGTACATACATCTCCTGCACACTGAATATGCGCATTGGCTAACATCAACAGGCATTTTTGCGAAAGAGCAGCACCTAGTATGACGAACCCTCCAATAGTGCTGTCTTCTACATAATCCACTTTACTAACTAGTCATCCAGCCCGCCGTCCAAGCTGCCTCAAACTTCCAGCTCAAGGCCATCTATTCTCGGTCCCTGAAGTCAGCCCAGGACCTTGCTAGCGGCATATCTGAAGTCGATCTCTACTCCGAAGACTCAGGATCTGACAAGTCCTATGCCCAACTACTGGCTCGTTCAGATATCGGTGCCGTGATCATTGCGTACGGACCCCAATTTCTCTAGGTTCCACTCGAAAACAGCAAAGGAACTTACTCTCCACCCTAACAGCCTTCCCATTTTGGTTCAGCCGGAGTTTATTCGGAAAGCACTACACGCTGGGAAGCATGTCTTATCCGAGAAGCCCATCGCTAAGGATGTTGCCACTGCCCAGGAACTTTTGAAATGGTACAAGAGTACTATTGATACCAGGAAGGTCTTCTGGGCTGTCGCCGAGAATTTCCGTTTTCTCACGAAATACCTCTTCGCGGCAGAGCAAGTCCAAAAGCTTGGCAGGGTCCAAAACTTTCGGGTGAACGTTCATAGCCTGATGGATGAGAACAACAAGTACTTCCGTACGTTCAGTCCTGGTTGAGGCCCTACAAAGAAGAGAGTACGGAAACTAACTATATTGGAACTAGACACCGCCTGGCGCAAGACTCCTAATTACCAAGGCGGATTCCTTTTGGACGGTGGTGTACACATGATTGCTGCGCTGCGACTGATTCTAGGCCCCACGGAGCGTCTTAGCACTCTGTCGGCGCAGTCGCAGTTGCAGCAATCATTCCTGCCACCGGTTGATACCGTGGATGCAGTTACCAAGACTGAATCTGGTGCTACAGGCATTATCTCGTTATCGTGGGGATCATCATTTAACGATCATGTGTTCGAGGTTGCTTGTGAGAAAGGACTTGTTACCTTGAACTTCGATGATGTAACAATAAATGGAGAAAAGCACCATGTTGAGTTTGATGGCCGGGGCGTTGTGCCAGAGGTGGCGGAGTTTGCAAACTCAATTGTGAGTGGAAAGCCTGACATCAGACAGTCTGCTGAGGAGGCATTGGCGGATCTTGAGATCTTGGAGCAGATGTTGCGGAGTGGCGAGAAAGATGGCGAGAAGGTTCAGTTACTTTTGCAGATTTAAATGCTAGATAGAAAACAAAATCATTCTAGAACCAAATTCATAAAATACCAAGACATATTGAAGTACTAGTATGAACGGGCAGCATGAAGAAATCGGAGAGACCACGAACTACCGTTGTATAGAGCATCTCCAGATATTACCCAAAGAGGAGTAGTAGGGCTAGGGCTGCTGCAGCCCTAGGCTGACATAAGTGGTCTTCTTTCGCTTAGTTCGCCCAAAGCGCACTAGTGTGGGTCTCCCACTCTGCTGCGGGAGAACCTGAGAGAGAAGTTTTCGAGATTGAACTCCGACCCGACAACTCTCGAACGCCCGGCGAGACCCAGCAATACCGACAAGGTCAGTCACCAAATGCGCAATATGGTCGATTCATTCACTAATTTTTGAATCCAGATGGTCGCCGCTAAGCAGCACATCCCTATCGTGAAGAAGCGTATGTTCCCGATTATCTGTTCCATCCCTTTTCGTGCCCGTGCCCTGGATGCTCTCGCCCTTCGATCGTCGACCAAATGAAACAAAGAAAGTTCAGCAAAATGTACCAAACGAAGAGAAAAACGTTGGGGAATTGCTGCGGAAAAATTTGAAAAAATTATATCCAACAGATGTATCGGAATCGAAGGGCGACATTACCCGCAGGGCTGCTGAGGCTGAAAAGGAGCACGAACTTTTAACATGTACGATCGGAGGACTGACATCGACAACTAGGCACGAACCGCTTCAACCGTCACCAGTCTGACCGGTTCATGCGCGTTGGCGCCTCGTGGCGCAAGCCCAAGGGTATTGACAACTGCGTTCGTCGCCGCTTCAAGGGCCAGATTGCCATGCCCTCCATCGGTTACGGTTCCAACAAGAAGACCCGCCACATGATGCCCTCCGGCCACAAGGCTTTCCTCGTCCACAACACCAAGGACGTCGAGCTCCTCCTCATGCACAACCGCACCTTCGCTGCTGAGTACGTTCTGCGCCACCAGAGCAATCTTGATTGCTCTTTCAAGATTGCTCTCCATGCGTTTCTTTCGCTAACCAGTTCTACAGGATCGGCCACGCCGTTTCTTCCCGCAAGCGTGTCGAGATTATCGAGAAGGCCAAGGCTCTCGGTGTTAAGGTCACTAACCCCAAGGGCCGTGTCACCACCGAGGCATAAATGGAATAAACCTAGTTTGTTTCCTTTCAGTTGGGATTGGTGCACGAGGTCGGGGTTTTTGTACGGCGATACTATCTCTCTGGCGATTACGAAATTTAAGGATTGTGCTTGGCATGTCCGGCTCGGGCCTTGTCATAGTGCCGGGCGCTGTGAAGCGAGAGACCTGTTCTCTGAAATGACAATAAAAATTACAAAAATCCCTTTGGTTCACTCCAAGTCATTTCGCGTGAGGTGCACCTTCTAATTTGGTCTTGTACACATAGTTGTATATCTCCAGTGTAGTTCAAGGGATGTACGTAACCAAACTCTTGTAACCCGAAAACAAGTGAACCTCGACACCTTTCCCTTCTATTCTCATCCCCTACCGGATATATCCCTATCCAACTTGAAACGCCCCTTAACATACCTTCCGTTGATCAATATCACTCGTTTCAGATCATCGGACCCACTTCTAGTGGTGACGTACTCCACTCGCCCAAAAAAAAAAACAACTGGAGTTCCGAGACCAGAAGCACAACATAGGAGCACAGGATCAGGGTAGAATCTGACAATGTGAAGGCAAACATCTTTTATCCAGTTCAGTTCTCCACGTCTGATAAATCCTCGAGAATCATGGTGCCACAATAGCTCTGGTTTGAATGTCATCTAGGATGTGCACGAGCCTTGAATTTGCATCAGCCCCCCACGCGCCTGTCACTTAAAGAACTTGGAGAACCCCCCCCCTCCTAAGGATTCCCTCATCGTCAATGTGTTATGGTAGGTCTCCATCTGGATATGGAGACCGATAGATCCTTCCATATCCATCAAACCCCTTTCTTGGATTCTCTTCATCCCTATCTCTAGATTCCTACAAGCCCAATATCCGAAAATGCCCTCTCTCCCACACCGATATAGTCGCTGGGTACTGATTCTGGGCCCAGCGATTCTACTCCTTTTAATACTCCAATTTATCCACGCCGACTTCAGCTCCAAGATCACGCGGGACGTGATCGAACCGGCAATCGGGCTAACGATTGATGTACACAACGAGACCGAGGCAAAAACGGAAACCAACCATGTACCATCATACTGTCCAACGGATACAGAAATGGACTCTGTCCTGGTAGTCGTCAAAACAGGCATCACCGAAGCACAAGGCAAAGTCCCCGTGCACTTAAGAACGACCCTCCGCTGCGTGCCACACAAGATAGTCGTCTCGGACTTCGAAGAAGAGATAGCTGGTACACGCACACAAGACGTCTTCCTCAACGTCTCCGACACCCTCAAACAAACCAACGAAGACTTCGCCCTATACAACCGCGCCCGTACAGGCGGCCACACAGCTCTGACCTCCGAAGACCACACGAAAGTTGTCAACGGCCCATCGGGCATGAGCGACAACCCGGGCTGGAAATTGGACAAGTGGAAATTCCTTCCGATGGTCCATGCCGCGCGACGCGCGAAGCCAGACGCCAAGTGGTTCGTGTTCCTGGAAGCAGACACGTATCCAATCTGGCCGAATCTGCTCGGGTGGCTGGCGCATTTCAACCACGAGGAAAGACTGTATCTGGGGAACCAGATGCAGATTGGGCCTACGGTATTTGCGCATGGTGGGTCTGGGTTTGTACTTTCACATGCGGCGATTCATGCTGTTGCGGATTTTCATCAATTGCATATTGAGGAGTGGGATGATATCACGGATCAGGAATGGGCGGGGGATTGTGTGCTTGGGAGGGCGCTTGCCGCAACTGGGATTGAATTGACTTGGTCCTGGCCGCATGTTACCACGGAGTCGGTTTGGGAGCAGGACATGTTGCATGAGGGTTTTGGCAAGACGCCTTGGTGTTTTGCGCCTTTTACTTTTCACCACATGACGCCGGCGGATGTGGATCGGTTTTGGGAGTTCGAGCAGCAGTGGTTTGCAGGGGTGAGTTACTCTCCTTTTGATTGGATTTTCGCCTTTTTTGGGGGGGGGCTATCCATAGTGGGATATCAGCATGCTCATCCTCGTGGAATATTTGAATATGCCACTGACGAACCCTAGACAAATTCAGGCGTCCTCACATACAGTGATATCTTCCGCCACCTCATCCGCCCAACACTCACAGACCACCTAGACAACTGGGACAACTTGGCAAGCGCAGGCGACGATATTGAAGATAACAAGGGTCCAGAAACGCCTACTTCGTTTTCCGCCTGCGCGGACTACTGCGCCACAGACCCAGAGTGCATCCAATACCGCCTGACAGCCGACTCGCGCTGTACGACGTCTAATGCGGTGCTGCGCGGAAAGCCCCAGCCCGGCACACAGTCAGGGACGATGCTGTGGCGGGTTGATGCTGCGGTAGAGCAGATGGAGGAGTGTGAGAAGGCGTTGTGGGTGACCAGCTAGGGTTTTAGACTCGCGGGTTTCATTATTGCGTCCGTTTTACCGTTGGGATGCATTTCTGGGCGTTGAGCGTTGAGCATTATATTTTGGTCTTCAGTTTTGTATCAAGGTTAAAAGGATAGCGGCCTTTTATCGCGTTGGCTGAAAAGTGACACAGGCAAATAATTGTAACGAATGGGATGTTTGTTGGGGATGGATGGTGTTTAATGAGATCTCGGGACTCGTCATGTCCAGCTTCACGCTGTTTAGAGAACAATTCAGGCAAGAGTTACCAAACATCTCTTATGAATCTGGCTGCTCTTTGTAGGAATTGTGCCTCCGAGCCCTTCCGATTAGGGGTTAGCATGGTCTTGTTCTTTTGCCCGCGGCGTTTTGACGCAAAGGTGAGACCAATTGAAAGAGGGGAAGAATGAGTCGGTCTTCGCTTGATAATTGTATATAGAATGAAATGGCCGGGGACTTACCAAATTTCGATCGTGTCTACAGGATCTATAGGAAAAGACATCAAGTTCAAAGTAAACAGACGAGGGTCTTGCCTATGATGTCGGCCCTCGGACAGAGAAACATTTCTAGACCCCAGATCTACAGGTAGTATGTCATACGAACAAACGAATTTTGTAGGATTGTACATATCTCTAATAAGGCTTCTAAACGCAGCAAATCTATATGCTAGGATGAAGACCATTAAATCAATGTATCGAAATGTCATGGAAGACCAAGACCAAGACCAAGACGCTATGCTCGCGAACTTTTCATGGCAAGTCAGCAGAGTGGTATCATCAAGACAAAGACAAAGACAGTCCGAGAAATGTGAGGTAAGTAGAAGGTATTTTCAAAAAAAAAAAAAAAAAAAGGAAACCCCTAAAAGACAACATCATTAGTTCGTAGGCGCGTCTGCCTCCGTAGCTTCTTGAGGAGACTCGTTCATCCCAGACCCGTTCATCCGAGACTCGTTCATTCTCGCAGCCTCGGAGATATTAACGAGACCAACACCTTCCAGAAGCACCGAGCCAGTCGTTGCATCTGCAGCAAGATCATCATCACCCAAGCCAGCCGGAATAGTTCCATTACCAAAGACAATCTCCTCGCCTTCAGCAGCAGGAACCCAGTCCGGACACTCGCGGGGACCCTCCATGCCCGCAGGAGGCAGCCCCCAGTGCGGCATGGGGCTACGATAACCCCAATCCCCATCTCGGTCAGCGTACGCAACAGCATGCAAGAAGATACCCAGCTCATGGGGACCCGGGTCCGAGTACAGCTCTGTGCCGCAGGTTTCACAGAGGTCGCCGGACAGACGCTCGCCCTTGCGCTTCGCATAGTCCTCAGCTGCAGCCATCTGCTCGCGGTGCATGATCTCGTTGACAAGCAACGGGTCGGTGTTCGGCGGGACATTCGGCGCCGCGGTCAGGTGTGTGCGATACGAGACCGTGTCGGGGATCTCGGTCTTACCCATGAGAGACAACCGCGCAACGATCTCTTCGTCGCGCTCTGCGGTCACCTCGGCTTTGCCAAGGTCAGGCCCGAACACACGGCGGTTGGAGTAGATGGGGTCGTTGGAGATCGGGTGGCCCAAGAACTGGAGGTGGACACGGATTTGATGGGTACGGCCTGTCAGCGGGAAACAGTGCACGATACTGTAGCCCTCGGACTCATTGGCGAGTTCGGCAGCTGGGGTAGCGGGACGCTCGTCGCCGCTAGCTGAGTCGGTCTCCTTGGCTACCTCAGGAGGGTAGTAAGCCAAGCGACGGAACTTGGTTGTCGCTTCTTTGCCGGTGGCACGCACACGGTTGAGACCCAGCTTCGGGCTGACCTGCATGATTGGCTGGTCGCAGACAACCACGCCGTCTGGGAACTTGCCCTTCACGCGTGCCACATACTCCTTTTGTACGGACCGGGCCTTCAGCGCAGCGGCCATTTTGTCGGCAGCCTTGGCGTGTTTTCCAATAAACATGATTCCAGATGTCAATCGGTCAAGTCGATTGCACGGACGAGGTAGCCATTCGGAGCTGCGCTCGGAGCGCAGGATTTCGACGACTGTGTTGAAGTAGTATCGACCTGCGGCGTGCACTGGCACGCCAGCAGGCTTATCGATGACAATCAGGTCATCATCTTCGAAAATGATTCCAATAGGAAGGCTTGTAACGGGCGGTTCATGGCGGTGGAGGGTGTGCGAGATGACCTGGCCGTTTTTAAGTATCGTTTCGGGGCGGGCTGTCACGCCGTTGACGTGTACAAGGCCATCCTCTAGGGCTTTCCTCTGATGATTGTCAGTTTACCATTCTCCTATATCTGGAGATCCATATTCTCCCACGCCTTTGACATACATAGTATTCTGGCTTCCGATCGCGAAACTCGGAAGTGAAAACCTCGACCACCTGGCGACCCCGCCATCGCTCCTTGCAGTTGGTGTTATAAGTGTAATGGTATGGTGTGACACGACGGAAACCACCTTCCAGATAGTATGGCGCAGGCCATGGATCGCAAGGGGTCACAAGTACATCGGGAGTCTTTTCGGGGGTCTTTTCAACTGGTTTGGAGGGGGTGACTTGATCGATGTTCACAAGGGCCATGGTGGGCAGCTTGAGCTTGCCTTGCCGAAGCAAATAGGCCGTTAGACGAGGTGAGGGAGCCAGATAGGCGACAAAGGTGACAGAGACTTGAAGAGAGAGAGAGAGAGACTTGAAGAATTTAAAAAAAAAATAAAAGAAAGAAATATCAAAATTAAGAATCAACGACCCCACATGAACAAACTTGATTGTCCAGACCCCCTCTGCGCCCCACAACTTGAAGGATCACAACCAATCAGAATACTTAGATGGCAAAGGGCACCTCCAAAAAAGAAATGCAACCTGTGGGATTCGAACCCACGCCTCTTTCGAGACCAGAAGACTCACTGAAACAGTGAAAGAGGCAATTCTCTTGAGTCTGGCGCCTTAGACCAACTCGGCCAAAGTTGCAATATTGGATGAGAAGTCCGGGGGATTTATACTCCTTAAGGAGTCTCAACCTGACGCTCAAGCGTAACTGGAGAAGAGACTTGCAAAGTATGATCGAGAGATCTTGACCGGCATGAAACAGATGGAGCTCCTTCCTTTGAACCCCCTTGTATTTTCCACCCTCTTTTACCTGTACACATCTATTCAGAATCTACCTTTGCCAGGCATCGTAGAGATATCCCAACAACGAACAACTGACGACTATCGGGATAATCCTTGAGAGTGTTGTTGCGGGAAAGTTCAAGCCTTCCACTCCTTGTATGATTTTCTTTTGTCTGACGTTCCTTCACACAAGTAAAAAAAAATTAAATTTGATACGTATAGCATTCCCTATAAACGATGGCAAGGATCATCTAAATATCCTCATCTCAAAAAATTCTATCAAGTTGCAGAGCGTAGAGCCTAGCGTTCACAAGCACTTCGTATATTCACTATGCACCTCGACGTAGTGATCTTTTGACAGTGCCGTCGACCATAGCCATCCCGAGATCTGTTTTATGTAGCCCAGGATCACAAGGCATAGAAGCCTGCTCCCATTAATCGTGTAATTAGAGACCACAGTGAGATGAAGGGATTCTGTGAAACATTCACATTTGAATAGTGACTCGTGATTGCTTCCGAGGTCTTTCCCACCCCTTCTCTTATATCCTTCGAACTAAATCTGAGGTTTAATTAGAGAACCAAGTATTCAAAACTCCTAGTCGCCAAGTAACTCATTTGCCTATCAATCCTGATCCCATGCCACATCAGAATTTTACCGCAGTGTCTGAACGTAGGTATTCGAGACTTACTTATCCGATCATCTCCTATACATGATGTTTCCGTCCCTTGATGTAAATTGAACCAATAAACGCATTAATCTATTCATCTATAGATTACCCTTTCCAGAAATCTAGCATAGACCTGATGATGCAATAAGGCATGTCATACTTTATCACGAACAAAGATGGTCGTACATCCCCAGAGGATACACATTCAGTTCTACCATAATCCTAATTTAAAGTATTAAAAAGGGGCTCCAATAGCTTCAGCACTACCATCGAAGGCACTGGTCACAAGAGAAGACAAATATCCGAGTGACCAGTTCGATTTGGAAAACCCAGTCGGTAAAGTTTCAGCCAAAGACACGGATCCGGATACAGGGGTCGAATAAATGGGCGAAGCCCTGGGCCGTCAGTGAGAACGGCCAGAACCGACAGGCTTCCCTACCTTTTGAGCGAGTCGATCAAACAGCTAACGCCCCTAACCAGGCAGTCAAGAAGAATGAATCCAATATATAATACCCTCAAGGGGCAGAAGAGAAGAAAGAGTCCGTCCTCAACGGTTTCTTTACAAAGAGCCAAGCCAACATCCTAAAGGTTCCAGCTCCTACCACAAGCGGCAGAAGCATGGAGAATCCTTTCAAAAAGAGTGAAAAGGGCCCTAAAAAAGGCTACGATGATGAATGGGAACCAGAGAGGGAGTCCGACGTCAATGGAAAGGACGATCACTCCTGTGAAGTCCTCGGCGACGATAGAGCCATGGGTGACGACAAAGTCCCCCACTGGACCCGAAGGAGAGGACTGTTCTGCTGGCAATTTTCCTAATCAGATAGACGTTGAGGCATCCACAGCGGAGACGCTGGACCCCAACGGTCAACTTTAAAGACGATGAAAGAAGTCCAATTGTTCTGCAAGAAATGGGCTATTTCATGGGCGCTGTCAGCCATGTCTAAATTACACTTCAGCCAACAAAGCCATCATGATGATGAGGACAGTTTTGATGAACAAGTACCGCAATCACACATATATGTAAAAAGAGATAAGAAGGCCGTCCGACGATTCTTGGAATGATTGCATAGAAAAACCTGTTATCTAAACTAAAAGACGTCGTAAGTCCGCATCAGCGGCTAAATATTCTGGTCTTGTGCAGATTCATTTCCAAATCGATCAAACTGTGCTGTCATTGAGGATTATAAACCCCATGAACCCACATCAAAAACTGCAACTTTGGCCGAGTTGGTCTAAG